GATATAACATGAGCATCCAAGCTGGAACCGCAGGGATATTGGTCAACAACTGTGCCGAGGTGGATTTGATAAACAACAGAACTGGGGATATTGCTAAGAAACATGATATATTCAATGACCATCGCGGCCAACATGTTTATGTGTGTCAACAACACTGTGGACACTGTGGACTTAACAAAAACATGATTCGAAGACACTTCTTATCTTGGCCAATATTCTAACTGTTGAACCTGTCTTGTGGTTCAACCATTTTGGAAGGTTGTTTTTTTTCCATTTGCCTGTTGATTTGTCTATTTTTCACGGCAACAACTAATGAGGTTTGAGGGGTCTTCATGTTTGAGCTTCGACTTTGCTGTTTCCCATCCAATTGTTGTGTTATCTATATGGTTGACATGTGTTGATATTCAAAACTATGGTTAATATGGGAGAATGACACATCTATAACATTATATATATATATATCATTGTGTTTATTATTGTTTGTGATTTGCATTTTGAAATAATTTGTGCATCCAAGGTGATCCCACAAACGGTTTCCCTGAGGCCCGCCTGTTTAAGGTCCAGAAACCTGAACTTGGAAATGTCGTGACCTGGGCTGATCGGAATCGAACAACGGCAACTCGCTATAGTGTTATGTACATATATATATATATATACAGGATTATATATGTATGGTTCTATAATTCTATATGATGATTTCATGACTTACATATAATTATATATACATACACACCCATAGTCTATAGTTATAGCTATATGCACACATATATATTATAAATATATAATATCATAATTACATATAATATATATATATACATATGTACATGGTTCTTACATGTAATGATGTAGAGCTACAAATGGTATAAAACGGTGTGTGTATATATATATACGATGGATAACGCACCCCTTGGCACACTACCCAAACATGGTTGCAAACAACAGTGATGATCCTAAAAACCTGGGCCATGTTCCATAGCTATGTTAAACTACCAGAGGCTATATCATCCCCATTAAGTGGACGATAATCCCATGAAATGGAGTTGAAATCCCATTCCGAATATCCAATCCAATCCTATTCCAGTCCTTTTCTTTGGGGCTTCCGACGGGAGCGTTTCAAGGCTTTGAGTTGCTTCATCAGTGCTGCAGCTTTGCTCAACTCCAGCCTTGAACGTATCCAGCGATTGCGTTTTTTGGTCATCAAAATTCATGTCTGAAAAGGTCCATTGCCAAATTCTGAAGGTCCATTGCCTTGCGGGAGTACCTGAGGGTGGGGTATTGTACTGATGTAGTACATCAGGATACTGTAATCAGTCAGCGGCTAGGGTCTTGACAATTCCATGTCACCAAATTGTCCAGTCAGAGGGATTTCTGGACATGAAATGTTCAGTATCTCAACGTGTCCATCGAAGTTCACATTATCACATCTGCATGGTCCTATAATCTCATATATATATATATACATACAGTACATACACACTATCTTATATATTGTTGGAAATGAGGTTCAAACTCATCTTTTCAGACCAAGTCAGCCACTATTTTAAAATTATGTAGGTGTTCAACTACCCCTGAACTTTCGATTCAGAAAAATGCCCTAAATATCTCTAAATACATGACATTACATGACAGCAGCAGGTCTGTGCTAACTAGCGGTAAGGCACCCTGGTCCCTATGTACTGTCAGTTGGTCCACTTGGGTCAGCCCACTGGGAAAGAAGTTCGCTGTCTGGGAAGTCTTCCAACTTGATGGCTTTCACCTGCGCTTTTCCACGGGGCCAACTTTATGAATTATCAACTTCTCGGCTTTGGTTTCGGCGTCGAATTGCGCATTTTTCGGGTTGCTCAAAAACATCCTCTTACCTTGGATTAATGGACACGGATTGTTGATGAACCCCGGCCCCACAATCTTAAACACCCCCATTCTATGGTCCCAATGATGTGGAAATTCCCTACATCCACCATGGGGATCCCAATTTTGGGGCCCAGGGCAGGGATGGTGGGATGTGGTGGAGCCTTCTTCCACGGCAGGGCAGGGTCCCAAACAAAGGTCGTTCCGACATGAAGAAATCTAATAAAACAATAGTACCGCGCAAGGCGGTGGCGGAAGTTTCAAAAGTTTCAAAAATAGGAAAACCTATAGGAGAGGTTGGTTGTTGTGAATCACGGATGGCAGAGCAAAGCCACTGATGGATCGAAAGGTGATTGATGTCTCCTCTCTTTCTCTCTCTCTCTTTTTCTCTCTGTCTCTGATTATCTACCTACCTACCTACCGATCAATCAATCAATCAATCTATCTATCTATCTATCTATCTATCTATCTGTCTATATATCTATCTGTCTATATATCTATCGATCTATCTATCTTTCTATCTATCTATCTATCTATCGATCTTTCTATCTATCTATCTTTCTATTTTTCTATATTTCTATCGTTCTATCTTTCTAATCAATCTATCTATCTATCTATCTATCTATCTTTCTGTCTTTCTATCTATCTATCTAGCTGTCTATCTATCTAGCTGTCTATCTGTCCATCCACCTATCTATCTATCTATCTATCTACCTATCTATCTATCTATCTATCTATCTAGCTGTCTATCTATCCATCTATCTGTCTATCTAGCTGTCTATCTACCATCTTACCTGCTCAGCAGACCAAACGACATCGGCGCGGCAACTTGACACTGCGCCTTTGTGCTGTCAGAAAAAATACACAGCTCTGTCTTTAACGGCTGCAAAGAAGATGCAGAGACAAGAAACGGCCTGTCAGAAAGCATTCTGTCAAAGTGTTGCGGATCACTGCATGTGTCCCCCACCTGCACACAGGTTGTGCGCCCATCTGCTAGGAAATCTTCCATGGCGTAGACCCGCTGGTCCATCATGGCCACTCGAGGCGGACAGAAAAGTCACACCGCATGGATCCAACTGCTGGCACGGAGAAAGTATGGATACGGTCTGAAAGCTAAGACATCAATTATCCAACCAAATGTGCACTTTGTTACCTTTATTACTGCGCATTTGTCCATGGCTAGGAAGAACGTCTAGCATGCCGTCACACGATTGCGAAGGAGTCAAAGCAAAGCCATTAGCTTCACGCGGCGCGCATCACTGCATGCGTCCCATCTTTCACGCGGCTGCCGGCCGACGCGGTCAGAAAAGACGCACGCAGTCAGCACTCACGCGGTGCGCATCACTGCATGTATCCGATTCCTGATGGCTCCGACGCGGTCAGAAAAGACACACATGCGCGGTCACTGTCTTCTTGGGCTCGGTGGTTGCAGGCAACTGCTTATTCGACAATCTGGCGACAGGAGTCCTATTCATGAGGTCACCAACCGTGATTGTCACATACCACAACCCACTTTTTTATGATACATACCCTGTTTTTAATGGCCAAAATATGTCTTCTACAAGTGCTTGCATTCGACGACGTGACCCATGTCATGTTCCATCACAAACTGATCCAATCATTGTTCACAAGCGCCAAGGTTTGAGAAGCAAAAAGCAACATCATGACATCAGTAAAATGAGCAAGACAAGAACTTCACCCATGGAATGACCGCTGTCGGAAAACCTGAATCATTTAAACAATACCCCAATTTTTCCCCACGAGTCATCACAAAGACATCGTGAAAAGTCAACCTAGAACCGTCATGGTAAGAAACATCATTTGAGGGACAACCATCAAAAACGAAGCAATTCTGCGAGACATCCTCAATTTTTGAACTTGACAACGTCATAAACGAAGAAATTCTGCGACACTTCCTCATTTTTCGAAGTTGACAACATCAAAAACGAAGCAATTCTGCGAGACTTCCTTCAAAAATGGAAAGTTGAGTGCAGAGCTGACGGCCGCGTGCCAATGCGTTTTGCGTATTTTCCAGTCCATGTGTCTAAACTACTGCGCCTGCCACGAAAAAGTGATGCCAGGTCATACGAAGTGCTGCACCTGTCACGCAAAATCATCCCAGCAAACCTTAAGATCTGATGCTCCAAAATGCAACCCCTCTCAGGAAATCAGCGCCCGGACCTCCTAACAGCTCTGATGAACATGTCTCTTGTACTGCACCTGCCACGGAAAATGCATCTTTCCAGATCCTCTTCAAATGTCCCACGCCTGCCATCGTTTTTGGAAATTCTACAAAACCCTCACGTTTTTTCCTCACTTTTGACACGGTGCAGTCCCTTGCGCCTGCCACGCGAAACGGCACTTCAAAGTCCAAAAGTGGTCCGGGCATCTGGTGTTTTTCACATTTTGACTTCGAAATGTGCTTCGCGCCACAACGGCGTGCACTTTTGCGACATCGCAACTGCCAAAAGTGGTCCGAGAATGGTGTGCTTTGTACATTTTGACTTCAAAATGTGCTTCGCGCCACAACGGCGTGCACTTTTTCGACATCGCAACTTCCAAAAGTGGTCCTAACGTGAAGTGTTTTTAGCTTTTTCACTTGCAAATGTGCTTCGCGCCACAACGGCGTGCACTTTTTCGACATCTCAACTTCCAAAAGTGGTCCGGACCTGGTGTGTTTTGTGCATTTTGACTTCGAAATGTGCTTCGCGCCACAACGGCGTGCACTTTTTCGACATCGCAACTGCCAAAAGTGGTCCGGACCTGCTGTGCTTTGTACATTTTGACTTCGAAATGTGCTTCTCGGCACAACGGCGTGCAATTTTTCATCTCTCATCTGGCCAGATGGCTCCGCACCCGCCGCTTTAGCGAGCCTACTTTTCGACCCTCCGGAGCCCGTTCGCGACTTTCCTACCTTTTCGCGCATCTGCATCTTCTTTCTTCTGACTCTTTCTCTTCTCTGATCTTCTCTCTTCTACTCTTCTCTTCTCTCTGACTCTTCCCATCTCTGCTTTTCATCTGTCCATATTGTCACAAGTTTGACTTCTAAACTTCCTTCGATTATATGATTATATATATATGTGTGTATGTATATAAACTTTGGCAACGTATGAGCCCACTTATCCATCCTCAAGTAATTTATCTAGACATATCTAGACGTTTTTCTGATCAAATCCCCATTGTACTGCCTCTTCTTCTGCCGCCTCCTCCGGTTTCAATGTGGCCTTTCAGAATGGGCAGTCGGACAGTCGTCGGACAAGTCGTGGGTCTAAATGGATCGTTTTACCAACAACGAAAGCCGGGCCTAGCATTTTATGGCTTGTGGGTCAATACCAAATATTCCCAAAATGTCCAAAGATTTTGTTGATGAACATATATGAACATCATTTTTTTGTTGCACCACTTCTGCCGCGGAGCTCTAAGCTCAGGTCAGACGTATTTTATTGAACATCCCAACATAGATCACGTGGTTTTCTCCTGATACATTCTCCGGGGGGCATCTTAAAGCACAAAGATATGGCTAGCATAGCTGTGCGTTCATCCCCAAGATTCCCAGTTCTGGAGGGACTATCACAACCACAATAAAATCAAGCAGGGGATTATCTGCCTATCTACATATACCTTATAGATCCTTGCAGTCACTTCCAAGATATGAGCTAGCACACAGTGTGGTAAAATCTAAGGGTTTTTTTTAGCATATTTGCTCCAAACGACAAATTCAGGACAGAATTCACAATGACAAAGCCGCTAAAGCCGGCTGCCAAACACGTCGTTAAGCACATCAGAACTGCCAAACGCCCGTGTCCAAAAGGATAGACATGTGAAGCCAACAGTGTCAACCTCCAAAAGGACTTGTGGAATCAGCATCCAACTTAGCCGTTTTTCGCAATTTGCAATTCGTGAATGGGAAACTATACAGAATCCAGAATTGTGGGACTTTGGTTCCTTGCTTACTAGCTTGACATAAATATGATAGTGTATGTAAACAGTAAACAGTAAACGGAGCTTCTATGGTGGTATGCAATATGCACATCACCCACCTCATCCTCGGGTGGTTCCTCTGCCTCTTCCTCCTGGCAGAGTTCAGTTGGAGAGATTGACATAGGACAAACAAACAAGATCTTGTCAACCAATGGTATATTAGATTCAGTATGCAACGAAAACAACATTTAGTAAATCATCATACAAGTAGATTTAGCTACAATCTTAGAGTCGCATACTAAATCGATCTAAATCTATCATAGATTATAGGTACTTGCATCCTATAGGTATAGTGATGGATGTTGCAATTATATGACTATCGATACAAAATGATGCGAATACACATTCGCCCACCAACTCCCCATCATCCAATTCTACCCTTGCCAATCTTAGGTATCTTTGAAGAAACTCAATGATCAGCCGGGGAGTTCAATATTCCTTCATTTAGTGGCAACACATAACCAATTTTCACCTGCCCTTCACCAATCGGCTTTGCCAAAGTTCTGTGATGGATCAATTCTCAGTCTTGATGACTAAAGTCAGCCCATTCTTTGGTTTGTTTTTGTTTTGTTCATCATGCACTCACTGTGTTTAGCTATATGATGTTATTAATATTATACATCCAGGGTCAAATCACTATCCCCCAGTCAAAATTGTGTTAAAGCCCGTAGGTTTTTTGTGTTTTACTGGTGGTTGAAAAACCTCCCAAGTTTACACGTCAGTTGGGACCATCCTATGATATTCACCACGTTAGAGTTAGATCCCTCCTCTCGTGCTTACGGTAAATCCCACTAACATATTGAAAACAGCAACTTTGGAATGGATCATGTTCAATCATGTGAAAAATCACAGCCCATCATCCTGTCATCAACAATTCCTCCAACGGAAATCCACGACTTCTGCACGCCTCTTTCGGCTCCGGAAAGCTCAAGCGACTTGGAGGTAAGGCCTCGACAGGTCATGGCCCGCGAGTTCGGAACGATGTAACGATGGCCTATGGAAATGGTGAGAAAAATCACATACTGTACCTGTACATACAATTATGTAATCGTACATATATATATTATAATAACAATAATAATTTAATACAATATAATATAATATATATATATATACACATATATATAACCGTATTGATATATATATATATATGTGATTATATATATATAATCATATCATTAGAAATGAATAGAAATTATATAACTAATGTAAGAACATATTTTGACAATAATCTACCGCAGTGTGGTAAACACATGAAAAATATGACACCATGCTTACCCATTTCTGCCATTTGGATTCCGGGTGAGGGGGTGTTGAAGACCACGTCAAAACAGTGGACCCCTGTTCCATTGTGGCAAAGCTCACTTATATCATATCAGACACTCTGGGAAAGACAACATGTCTTTCTCTAGCTACTGTGGATGGTTGCAAAATCCACCACTTGGCAGATGGTTTATCTTTATAATTCTCTCATGAAATCCCATTGTTTACAGTGTTTCATACCAATAGTTTTCCTGCCTGCGGGATTTCGCAACCATCCACAGTATGTCTTATAGCAGGGCATCAAATCCAAATCAGTTCACTTTCACAGCTTCGCAATGGGCGCCCGCGCACGAAGTAGGAAGCCATACTTCTTGTACTCCTGTGCTTGCACCCCTCTCGACCCCTTTCAAACAAGATTGAAACATCATAGGTTCTTGGATCCATAAACACAAACGCTTCAAAGAAACAACCGCAAAATCATCACCATCATTTTTTTAGTGGAATGTCAATCTTATTCAATAGTCACAAGCATTCCTCAATTAAATCATAAAGATTTACCCACGGAAAGCAACTATTCACTGTGCTTTACCGCGTGTTCCCTGTAAAACTCACCCAACGAATCTGCCGAAGGCATCTCCTCTTGCCGTTTCAGGAGGAGCGAATCAAGTGCCTGGCGGGTCTATGGCTGTCCAATAGCCTGAAGGTAACCTTAGCTACTCTGTCCTTAAAAGAGGCATGTCGTAATAACTGCTTGGTGGTTCACCTACCCCTCTGAAAAATATGAGTTCGTCAGTTGGGATCATTATTCCCAATATATATATATATTATGGAAAAATAAAACATGTTCCAAACCACCAACCAGATAATATTATAATATATTATAATATTGTTTTTTAGAACTGAAAGCAAGTGAACATTGAAAAATGTCACGTAGAAAAACAAAAGATGGAGAAATGGCATGACATACCAAAGCCAAACTTCTTTTCACAAAGTTAGCCTGAAGTTAACAGTTCGCTATGGAAAATAACCATATTTATAGATAATTCATCGAACAAAAAACATGCCATTTTCGCGTAAATAGTGATTAATTGAGCTGCCACGCCCATTCTGAGCGTTGATATCCCCGTTGCAGGTCTTCTTGCATGCATCACACTGATCAATCCTCCAAAATGGATGGTAAAATATGGTAAAATAATTGTTTCCCTCCGGTAACGTGGGAATTCAAAACTTCCAGCATTTGCAGTGAATGTGTTCGAGCTATAACAGCTCCATGGCCCATGGCTTCGATGGGAGGGGCACAGGGATGAGTATTTTGGACAAACCCATCTCACATCTGTTGCAAAACATCCCATGCTGCATGATTTCCGCTGCTTTATAATCAAATGTATCATCATGTTCGGTTTATGAACATAGCATTGTTGTTGGTTAAATCCGACCCGTTTTTTTCTTTGACCAGGGTTGACCCATAGCTATATATAGCTATTGTGCGCCATGGTCAAGTTACATGGGATGAATGTGGGGTATGGCTCATCCCAGCATCATGAATGGGTTTTCTGATATAAAACCGTTACATTGCAAAACAAACGTATATTATATATATATATTATATAGTTCTATGAATAATATTAGTCTATATAAATCCATATGTATATATATATATTATATACGGAGGTTTCCAAACATGGGGGTACCCCAAATCATCCATTTATAGATGGATTTTCCATTTAGGAAACCATCCAGCTATTGGGGTATCACCTTTTCAGGAAACCTCCATCTACGAGTACGCGCCATGTTGCCCCGAACCTGGGAACAGGGATGCGTGGACAAAACGTTGCCCACGCTGGCTTGTGTCTCGGGCCTCAGCTTCAAAGTGCCCAATGGGGTGGGGGTTTGAAAAGGGATATTACCCTTCATATATGTGGTGGTGAAAAATGGGATTTAATGGTGTTTAATGTTTAATGAACATTCAAAATAATGCGGATGGTGGATCCTATTGCTTTACTGACATTATCCGGGATGGTGTAAAATAATAGTTTTTTTTTACAGAAAGGCTTGTTGCCAGCGCCGGAACTTTCAATAAGTTATATAATTATTAATTTATGGTGTAAAATATCGCAGTTTCGCGCTGTCAACAACCTCTTGTTCATTGTACATGGTTGTGTTTTCCAATAATTCAAGACTACTGGGATCAGGGTTATGTATAGACTAGTACCAGAAAATTGTTTTTTTTGGTTTTCATGATGTAGGATTAATCCAGATTAATCCAGATTAATCTTGATCACTTAAGTTGAATTCTCATGAGCAATGTGTTGTACACAAGTTTTCGTGGTGAGTCTGCGGTTCTGGCTAGGATAGTAAAACATAAGTAAAACATCTCAAAATATCATTTAAATCATGGGAAAATTGCACTCCCAGGGGCTGCCGTTCTGGAGAATGGCAGGCTGTGGGAGTGCGCTGTTTCATAAGTTTTGATCATCACACACAAAAAAGGTAGGGGGTGTTGTGAGCGTCAATTTTTTGCATTTTTGACATTTCATTTCCGCAAAAGATACCAAACCCTGTTCTTTCCAAAACCAAACATTGTTGCTTCTGTATCAAAAGCAACCACTGTGCAGTCTCAACAGCTCTCCCAATGTCCTACATAGATACATAGTTTCAGCCAAAACAAACATGAATGACAATTAAAAACAACAAAACAAGCAAGTGCAAATGCCTTTCCAAAGAGTGCAGGATTGCTTTAAAAATGTATAGACTCTACTGCATCTCTACAGGAGTTTCCCTCAACATATGCAATAGTTCTTTTGAACATGTGCATTCACAGGGACCAGTTTATGCAATATGTTCTCTATAAATAATGAAGGGAAAATAAATTTGCAAACTGCACTTGTAAAATGATTTTAGAATACCATTCCTCAATGTAACAACCCTTTGGAAAAAGTGTGGCATTGTTTGAAAGATAAGTAGCATTAAAAAAACAAAAAACAAATGCATTTTAAACAGGCACCAATCTATGCAATATGTTCTCTATAAATAATGAAGGAAAATACCATACATGCAAACATCAATTGTAAAATGACTTTGCATCAAGAACACCATTCCTCCATGTATGCAACAACCTTTTGCAAACATTGTTGCATTCTTTGAAAGATGTGTAGCATGACTTCCCAATTTCAAGGAGAACCCTCCTATGTATGTACTGAATGATTTCAGAATTCATAGCATTCCTGTAGGACAATGTAATATGCTGGTTTGCAAGATTGAAACTATTCTTGAATTACTACAGCATGGTTTTGAAAAGAGACCCATCTTACTGACACATCCATTGAAACATGTGTTTTACCTTTGAAAGTGCAGATTCTTGTTTGCAATGTGTGCAACATTATTGTAAGGAAGTGTGGCAAGAGCCTACTGTAGATTCCATTGATGATGGAAAAGCCTGTTTAAAAATATGTGTTTTTAGTTGTAAAGCAAGTATTGCACAATCTTCTGCAATATGGCCGTTCAAAGAGTACAACTGTTCTATGGACATGTTGTTTTGTTTTGAAACGGGTGCTATGTGACTCGACTTTCAAAAGGTCTTCAAAATGTGCAATATCTTATCTTTGTAAACAAAGTAGAATATGGCTTCAAACAATGCAAAACAAATTGTAATTATAAATCATAAATCTTAACGCGAACTTATTCAAGCTACATGCCTATGCAAAGAGTACAGTAGCACAATTACCTTCAATATCTCTTTCAAACTAGTGCAGCATTTTCTCGAAAAAAATGTCACATCACTGCAAACTGTGCAAAATCTGTGTCAATCAAGGAAAGCCTTCCTTTGAAGATGCACATATGTATGTGTATATATATAATTATATATATATATAAGTGTGTGTGTATATGTATATGTAGTTTTAAAAGTGAATAGTGTCTTGGCAAATCTGTGTAGCATCCCTCCAAGAAAGGGCAACATGAGTCTACAGCAGATTCCATCGATGATGCAATAATGCTTGAGAAGATGGTCGTATTACTTCAGCAAAGTATGCCACCACTTTATGCAACATGTTTTTCAAACAAGTATATCATGAAACTAAGGTTATCTAGGACATGGCCGAACATTTCAAAATTGGAACGCGCAGTCTTGATCCTCAGACCCAGTATGTTCATAGCTGCAGTGCTTAAACGATTGGTTCCTGCAAGCTTGAACGCATGAAGACACCGAACGGCCAGTGTACAGAGAGGTGCAGATGGCTGAAAGTGACCAAAACAAAAAAAACAAAGCTTTGCAGTAGTATAAACGAAGTGTGTAAGGACTGGGATCTGGTATCAACGAACACACAGCAAACTTGGTGCAAAAAAAACCTTGTCTTCCGGCGCTGGCAACAAGCCCCTCCCTTTTTTTAGGGTTGGTTGCTTGGGGAAGGCTGCTACAGTCCATGTGTGAAAAACTTGGAGAAGAATTATCCTTGGCTTTACAACTGTTTGCTACATGGGAAAATTGATGCATGAAGTCATGAAGTGGTATTCTCATGGGTTTCAACAGACCCTAAATGTGACCCCTGGCCCCTAAATATATAGATGGCTACTAAGCTCTTGCAGGTCACCTTTGAGAGAATTGGTCGAATCCCCATAATATGATGGCCTATAGGTGAGCAAGTAGCCAGTGCTGAATACTTTGCAGGTCTCCGATGTTTTGGGACTATTTTAATTTAGAGATTTAGAACAAACAAATTGTGGCCACTGCTATTGCTAGCAACGAGTTGCATCAGTGAAAGACTGCCAGCGAACATTCATTGGCAACTACTACTCTGAATTTTGTGGCTGACAATTACCCTCTGGTAAACTAACATAATTATGGAAAATCACCATGTTTACTGGGAAAACTCACTATAAAATACTATAAATGGTCATTTTCAATAGCTATTTTGACATAACCAGAGGGCAAGTGATGATTGTTTAGGCTACCTGGTAGTTGCTACATGTTAACACATGTTAACACACCTATATTTTTAGCCCGGACATCTCAGGTCCTAACGGCTCCACTTATATTGATACTGCTCTCTGAATAACTGAATTGGGTATCGGAAATATGAAAATATCATCGGTTCTCACAACACATGTTGAAACATTCATTGTTTTCGAGCTCTGATTCTTGCAATTCGAGACTATCAAAAAAAAACTATAGCTCCAGATATCGATACTCCTTCCTCTGATCAGATCCCAGGAATTCCCAGGATTTTCAACGAGCGGCTGATCGCTCCGTACGGCAGCACAGCGCAAGAGGGACAGGGCGAAGAGAGGTCTCCCAGCGACGGAATATGGGAAGTTTACCCACAATTGGCCAATGGAAATGGGAAATGGGTACAGGTAGGAAAATTTGCAGGAAAGGCTCCGCCAAACGCGGTTTTTAGCCCTGTGTAACAATACGTTAAGACATGTTAAGACCCTATGGTTTGCCCGCAAAGTTAGAATGGAGTTCAAATATGTTCAAATATGATCCTTCGACATGCTCAAAAACCTGCGCAGGGCCAGTGTTTTGAAATTTACCAAACGACGAACCCTAAACCCTAAAAAACCCTAAAAAACCCTAAAAAAAACCTTAAAAAACCTAAAACCCTAAAACCCCAAAGCCCCAAACCCTAACGCCCTGAAAACTCTGAATCCGAAAGCAGAAAACACATCGTATACGCAGTATTTTCTGCAATTTCTCCTCTCATGTTCGACGACAGGGAATCCTCAATGTTGCAGTCCGGGCAAACCACGCGGTCTGTGCGTAACAATCGATCATAATGGATCTATCAAAACATATTAAAACATCCATAAATCCTAGTTTAAGTATGGATAAATCTTGTAAACCAACTTGCCTATCCTGGAGGTGACCCAAAAAGTCTGGTGGAGATGGGACCCACAAATTCACACCAAATCCATGAAAATTGCCTTATTGATTGTCGGCAATTTCGACGCATGCCAAAATCTGTTTTTATTTTGTAAGCAAACATGGCAACATCCAATCAACGATATATCAATGGGGATATGTTGATTCTCTTTCAGGACATGTCACAATGTGGCAAAAAGAGATGTGTCTCCTGATTGTACCCATGAAATATCCCAATCAGGCGCCTATTCATTTTTTTTGTTGGTTTCAATCATGCAGCACGTTGAATTTTCACCAATGGTGGGTATCAACACAGCCTGGGGATATCAACCAAGAAGCACGGTAATATCAGTAGCAGCGACCAAAGGAAGGGATAGAACCAAGTACACTAGTAACCCAACAAAGACATCGCTGCATGGTTATGAATCATGGGGCCCAGTGGGAGTATCTGATTATATAATATATCATCAGAAGTTGGGTGCGAAACTCTGCTGGTTGGCTGCTCACAAGAGTGGAGATCACGCCATCAGGGATGTTGGAGATCACTTCTGTCTCGCCTGGAAGTACGAAGTACGCACTCAAACTGGCAGTCCGTGGTCCCATGGCGCAGCCCGCCTGAGTCATCACTTGGCTCAGACACCTCTCTGCCATGGGCTGCAGCAAGGCCAGAATGTGCTCCAACTTGACTGGTCAGCCGGGCAGCGGGGCTGAAGCTGCTTTTGCACTTTCGCAAATCAACGCTGGCAATGGAGGATACTGAGGATACTCCATATATATATATTTATATTATATTATATTATATTATATTATTATTTTATATATATTTTATATATATTATATATATTTAATATATATATATATATTATATATATTATATATTATATATATTATATATATTATATATATATTATATATTATATATATATATTATATATTATATATTATATATATATTATATTATATATTATATATTATATATATATTATATTATAATATATTATATATATATATATTATATTATATATATATTATATTATATATATATATATTATACATATATATTATATATATTATATATATATTATATTATATATATATATATTTTAATACATTGACGTAAAGTTATTATATCGAGTTTTTTTCCCCGCAGAAAATGACGATGTTCATCGATGGTTCTTCGCCAGCTTGGATTTCCAGGGAACTTCCGCTTGGAGTTCTGAAAGAATCCCATCTGTCCGCCAGGAAATGAACTGTCCACTGAACTACTGAGTCACACTTCTGGGAATTTTCCACAACAAGATCTTAACTGTGAGCTTGGCGTTATACTTCACTCAGAGAGGTGCAAGTAGGGATGAAAAGGCAACCATACCTTCCTTTCTCATGGTTCAAAGTTTATACTTGATGGGTTTAACCCCAGTTTGTTGTTGGTTAAAGTCCCACTTTTGGTGGGTTAAGATGTAATTGCTTGAATACACGTTTAGATACGTTTAGTATTTCTTTTGTAAGAAAAACATAAACCACCAACCTACCCAACAAAGGTTGACCCAGTTTCTCCACCCAACTTGGGTAGTTTCATGAATGGTACGTAGGTAGTACAATACATATGATAATAACACACATGTATGACAGCAAAAATCAACCATGTTCATCTACGCAACAAGGTTCGATCCATAATTGCTCAAAATATATCAAAATATCACTTGTTGATGCTTCAAAATTGGTAACAGAGCTATATGGGGATGGGTCTAAACCCATTATTACCATATTTGGGGGAATTGACCCATAACCATATTCCAAACATTTGTTGGTTCAAGTCTCACGCTTGTTGGGCAATTTCCACCGTTGTTGACCTACGGTGTCGCAAGGACTGCCGCGCACCTCTTAGGATCCTCCCGCAATGCCAGTGCAGCAGCATCTTTGGCCATGGCAAAGTTCTGGGAGGACAACTCCTGGCTTCTTACTAGTGCTAAACGTAGGGAATTTTCGGGAATGATCCACAATAACTATGACATACAGTAACTATGAATAATCATCCCAGCAACCCCCAGCAACCCATCCATTCCCTACGTAAAACGCACCAGTAAGTCTTTGGACATCCTGGGGATTCGATGGGTCCCAATCCACATAATGACCTGGTGCTTAATGCTAGGGGGGATACCTGGTCACCGACCAAAGAGACAACCAGGTACGTGCATACATGGGAAGTTCAACAGCAACTTGCCACCCAAAAAGCATAGGAAAAAAAAGGAAACCATTGGAAATTTAAAAAAAAAATGGGGCTTCCCTCGGACATGATCTAAAAACGGTGGATTTTCCATAGTTATGATAGGTTTAATCATCCCCTAGAATGGATCGCGCCAAGACCACCCAGAACAGTGCTTACATGTGCTTACCCCTATGGGTTTGTTTCAAAATTTCGGGATACGTTGCCCGCATTTCACGGCATCAACTAGTTTCATTGGGCAAATGAAGGTTCTAAAACCATGGGATCTGGGTGTTCAATGACTTTCAAAACCATAAAGAATCATGGAAAAAAACATATTTCATCCCAACCATAGAACCCAAATAGATGTCTTCCATTATCATCCATTTTTTCGATTATTCACACCCATACGGGTTTCTCAGAACATATTGTGTACCCCATTCCACATACTGTTCATCATCATTTGCCCGAATTAATATAGCCATAAGTGGGGGGGAGTACCCTCCGGTAATCAAACATGGCAATGTAAAGTCCCCCCAATTTTTTAGATGATTATCCCCTTAAAACCTCCACTGAGTTTGATTATGACAGGGTATATCATGGTTCCCATGAAATATCCCATTATTATCTGCCATTATTATTAACCATCATGAAGCGTTATTAACTATCAGTTAATCATCAGTCAACAAGTATGAAAACCATATTTTTTTTCACTCACATCTTCATCCGCCGTTTCTTTGAGAAAACCAACATGAAATCCGCAGTAGCGTCTCAACTCATCCATAGAGTCACAGAGCCTCCCCAATCAACGGCCCGCATCCTTCAACATCCGTAACAACTCATCCTTGTCGGCCGAGTCCTCCAGAGATGGCTATGCTCAGGGTCTATGTTAATTAAGGAAGGTACCCTCTGGTTATGTCAAAATAGCTATTGAAAATGGCCATAGAAATAGAGATTTTTCCCATTAAAAATGGTGATTTTCCATAGTTATGTTAGTTTACCAGAGGGTAACTAGTTTTTGATGCTTTTGATGCTAGATATATTTGCAGATATGTCCAATTCGTGGGTTTTTTTTGAAGCAACAAACAGAACTACCTCATATGTTCCATGGTGCTGGAATATTTACCAACATACCTGGGTCATGAAAATGTGGTAAATGTTGGTATTCCATGGTATTCCAGCATCACCTTGAGCAAATTTTCCCTTCAAACAATTCGCCCTGTTGTTTGATTTTTGAATACAGCTCCACTAACTGGTTAAGACATGTTAAGACAGTGATGATTCTAGTACCCTCTGGTAAACTAACATAACTATGGAAAATCACCATTTTTAATGGGAAAATCCACTATTAATGGCCATTTTCAATAGCTACGTTAAATTACCAGAGGGTAATTACAATAAAACATTGCAAGATGTTGGAGACTTTATTTCATCTGCGCACATAAGAATATGTGTGTCCCGTAACCTAAAATCTAGACATGTTTTTTGGGATGCCCTGAGCAAGCTATCTGGCCAATTTCTCATGGTAAACCCGTCCCGGAGCCGGCCCAATTTGGGTGAAACCAACCAACTGGTCACCGCACAAGATCATCCAAGGAGCTTATGGGTTATCGGTTGGAACCCATGGAGTACCCCTGTTTACTTCGAAATAGCTTGGATTTATGGATGTTCCCCCGAAATATAGTATCATATTCATATATAGGTCTTGATCCATACCTCCCTGATCATTCCGGCATTACTCTCATTCACGGACTGATGACCCCCCAAAAAAAGAAATGGAGTTCTATATATAATAATATACATATATCCCTGTACGTATATATATATAACTATCTGGAATTGTTCACTATTGCACATAGTAATTATAAGATATTACAAGTATCTGGATTTTTCATAAATTAGATCATCAAAAGTCAGCTGAAAAAAAGTTCATCACTTGGGGCCCCGCCTGCAGCGCCACCATGGCTTTCTTCTCTGCAAAGCTCCAATGCTCTGCGCCCAGCAGGGCCAGCTCCAACGCCTCCCCAATTTATGGATGGTTTATTATGGAAAATCCCAAACAAAAAGGGATGATTTAGGGATACCCCATGACAAAACGGACACCTCCATGTAGATATAGTAACCCCTTAAAAGATAGAAGGGTGATATGTATCCTATTTCTAGTAGGATGTTGGCTGGTCTTAATCTGTTTGGGGTTATTATATACATATATATATATACATATACACACTATCTATTTATAATTATATGGGTGCAATATACTACAATTCTATAACTGGTTCATGTCATAAAAGATATGAACATGTTCATATGAATCATTTGAATTATTATACGTGTATAAGATGGCAGAAGTGACGAAAATGCAGCAAAGGTTGATAAGAAAAGGGAATCAAAGCCTTAAATAATGGGATTAGAACATGTGGAAGTCTCTTAAAGTGGTAGTACCCCCAGTCGTCACCATAGGTTTCAATACTAAGTCATCGTCATCCATGACTTGGCTGAAGCTTTTCATGGGGGATCAATGGGGTACACAGTGTCACAGAGACCAAATAAGCTGGTCATTTCAAAATTATTCAAGATTATTCAAGCATCCTTTTTTTTGGGAGCAAACATATGACTTTTACCCACACTCTACCTCTTAAAAAAGAAACCTCGCAGCTGCACGGTTTCGCCTAGGGTGAAGTTGTTTTCGCCATCCGAGGTTCATGATTGAACTGTTGAACCAACATGTTTCATTATTCATGCTTAAATTTAAATACCATAAAACTACTGTTGGCGCTGGTTATTTGATGCTTAAAAAAACAAGTTAAATCAAGTCAAATCCTAAATCCTAGTGGTGGTTAAATCAAATTGAAACCCCATTTTTGGTGCTTCAATCCCTAACGGATCATCCTGCCTGGTCCAATAGTAGGGAACGGATCCGATCAACTTCCTGCGGGAGTCCCACTTGAAACCACAAAAAGGCTGGTATGTTGAAACCATGAACATACGGTGACACCATGGTGATTCAACCATCAAATTTATGAGATTTTATGAGTTTGTTTTTGTTTTCTTGTTTGGGGATTGCGATGTCTATCTATGATCTAGGGATGTGATGTTCTCCGAACTTATGATAGCTATCCTCAAAACATAGAAAAGGAACAACGTAAACCCATACTAAAATACATAGTGATGAGTTATAATGTAGTTCACTTTGCTAGTTTGTTGGTGTTTACTACAGTTTTGAAGCGGTATACAAGGCTTGTATACATTGAGATTATATATATATATAATATATAAAGTAAATACGTTGACCTAGTGTGATATTCAATCAACATGTTCAATGCTATGTATGGGTGTCCAGCAAATCGTTAAAGTATATATTGTACTAAGTTTAAGCTGCGTCATACTGTTGTTGTACAGTATATGAAAATATGAATCAGTTCGGATGATTGGATCCTAAAATGTTCCCTCCAACCCGGACGTTGTTCCACACCTCAAGATAATAATAATAATAAAAATAATCATCATCATCATCATCATCATCTTTCTGGTGCTTGATAGGGAATGGGTGAATGATCCATCGGATCCAATCCATATCCTCAATTTATCTTCATAAAGGGATCCATTTTTTTTTTACCCCCTCTCACTTTTATGTTGATGATAATAAGAACATGAACTTATTTTGTTGAGGGATCAAAATCAACCACCCCCTCTGACTACTACGTTGACAAGGATCATAACATCAACTTATCTTCATAATGGAATCCAAATTTGCCACCCCCTCTGACTTATATGTTGAAAATAATAAGAACATGAACTTATCTTGTTGAGGGATCAAAATCAACCACCCCCTCTGACTACTACGTTGACAAGGATCATAACATCAACTTATCTTCATAATGGAATCCAAATTTGCCACCCCCTCTGACTTATATGTTGAAAATAATAAGAACATGAACTTATTTTGTTGAGGGATCAAAATCAACCACCCCCTCTGACTACTACGTTGACAAGGATCATAACATCAACTTATCTTCATAATGGAATCCAAATTTGCCACCCCCTCTGACTTATATGTTGAAAATAATAAGAACATGAACTTATCTTGTTGAGGGATCAAAATCCACCACCCCCTCTGACTACTACGTTGACAGGGATCATAACATCAACTTATCTTCATAAAGGGATCAACATTGCCACCCCCTCTGACTTATATGTGATGAAATATTTGATATATTTGCTATGTACTAGTATATACATCGGCCACTTCTGATTCCGACGCGGAGCAACGTAGGGGTTGCAGTGAACATGTTCAATGCTATGTATGGGTGTCCAGCAAATCGTTAAAGAATATATGGCTGCGTCATACTGTTGTAGTATATGAAAATATGATCAGTTCGGATGATTGGATCCTAAAGAAATGGAACGTTGACTGACAGTGCTATCATGTGGTTTGGAGACTCTTCGTAGCTCCTTCACTACCCATGTAATAGCAATAACAATCAGTGAGCAAATAGGGAATATAACAATGATGATGATGTATATGTGTAGCAACAATCGAAGGAAGTTTAGAAGTTAAACTTCCGACAATATGGACAGATGAAAAGCAGAGCAGGGAAGAGGCAGAGAGAAGAGAAAGATCAGAAGAAAGAAGAGTAGAAGAGAAAGAGTCAGAAGAAAGCAGATGCCGATGCGCGAAAAGGTAGGAAAGTCGCGAAACACTGTGTTTTCCCAATGATTTGGGGCTCCGGAGGGTCGAAAAGTAGGCTCGCTAAAGCGGCGGGTGCGGAGCCAGCTGGCCAGATGAGAGATGAAAAGTTGCACGCCGTTGTGGCGCGAAGCACATTTGGAAGTCAAAATGTTAAAAACACCAGGGGTTCGGACCACTTCTGGAAGTTGCGATGTCGAAAAAGTGTACGCCGTTGTGGCGCGAAGCACATTTCCAAGTCAAAATGTACCAAACACACCTGTCTCGGACCACTTTTGGAAGTTGAGATGTTGGAAAAGTGCGCGCCGTTGTGGCGCGAAGCACATTTCGAAGTCAAAATGTACAAAACACAACAGGTCCGGACCACTTTTGGCAGTTGAGATGACGAAAAAGTGCACGCCGTTGTGGCGCGAAGCACATTTCCAAGTCAAAATGTACAAAACACACCACCATGTACGGACCATTTTTGGAGGTTCAGATGTCGAAAAAGTGCATGCGGTTGTGGCGCGAAGCACATTTCCAAGTCAAAATGTACCAAACACACCAGCTCCGGACCTTTTGGCAGTTGAGATGACGAAAAAGTGCACGCCGTTGTGGCGCGAAGCACATTTCCAAGTCAAAATGTACAAAGCACACCATTCTCGGACCACTTTTGGAGGTTCAGATGTCGAAAAAGTGCACGCGGTTGTGGCGCGAAGCACGTTTCGAAGTCAAAATGTTAAGAACACCAGGGGTTCGGACCACTTTTGGAGGTTCAGATGTCGCTTCGCTTCGCTTCACTACACTACACTACATTACACTACACTACACTACACTCCACTACACTACATTACACTACACTCCACTACACTACATTACACTACACTACACTACCTTCCAGTACACTTCACTACATTACACTACATTACATTCCACTACACTACAACTACAACTACGACTACACAACTACACTCCACTACAATACACTCCACTACACTACACTAAATTACACTACACTACATTACACTACACTACACTCCACTACACTACATTACACTCAACTACACTACCTTGCACTACACTTCACTACATTACACTACACTACACTCCACTACAAATATAACTACGACTACGCAACTACACTCCACTACACTACACTACATTACACTACACTACATTACACTACACTACACTACATTACACTCAACTACACTACACTACACTCCACTACACCACACTACATTACACTGAATGACGCTGCACCACAGATAGACAGGTAGACAGATAGACAGATAGATAGACAGATAGACAGATAGACAGATAGACAGATGAAAGAGAGAGAGAGAGAGATAGATAGATAGATAGATAGGTAATTAGATGAAAGAGAGAGAGAGATAGATCGATAGATAGATAGATACATAGAAGATAGGTTGGTAGGTAGGTAGATAGTCAGAGAAAGAGAGAGACAGAGAGGAGACCTCAAGCACCTTTCGGTCCATCAGTGGCTTCGCTCTGCCATCCCTGATTCACAACAACCAATCTCTCCTATAGGTTTCCTATTTTTGAAACTTCCGCCACCGCCTTGTGCGGTACTACTGGTATATATATATACATACTAATGGTGAATATGCCGAAAAAACTGATGTAATATAGTTGTACAGGTAGTATATAATTATATATATTTATACATACATATGTCAAAATATGTATGGGGAATATGGCGAATATGGATAAACTCGCAACAACTGGAGCCCTTCCTGAGCATCCGCCAAAGGATTGGCCATGTAGCGTTCAGGCCTCAGGTCTCGAGATCCATGGGGAAAGGGACTGGTTAGTCTGGCATAGCAAACCTGAGCTATTAGCAGCTATGAAATGTGTCCCGGGTTTTTTGACCTCCCGAAACTGATGGGCAAACAAAAAGCGCCAAATTGGTTGGTGGGGTGGAACTGAGGCAAAAATGCGATGGATTGTTGCTTGGCCATGTGGTTGTAGCAAGAGCATTACTTCCACTGGCGTCGTTTGGGTAGCCATTTGTCAAGTGTGACCATTATCGACCTAGCTGGCCTAGGCTGATTGGCATGGCACTCTAATCCCCAAGTTGCGTCTGGTTAGCTTATCACTTTTCCCAACGCCATTTTGCCGGTCGTAGACCTGTTTTGGAACATTGCACCATTCACCTCGCAACCATCAGCATAGAAAATGTATGAAAATATAACTGATTGGAGATGATACTTGGTGATCGACATCCAATACTCACAGGGACTGGACAATCATTGTACTTTGGACATGGATGAAATCGGTTCCTACTAGGATGAAATTGGTTCCTACTACTGTATACACCCTGGTAATTCAACGTAGCTATGGAAAGTCCAATATGTTCAGTATGTTCATTGTGATTTCCATAGGAAACTGCTAAATTACCAGTAGCTATCCATGCTGAGGAATCAACATCTGGGAATGTCTCATGGCATTCCCATGTCGGGAGTCCGCACAAATCATCTGCGAGCTGCTTCTGCAAAAGACCTACCTTCGCAAATCTAAGCTGGTGATTTGTCGAGTGAATGGGATTACCCTCTGGTAAACTAACGTAACTATGGAAAATCACCATGTTTAATGGGTAAATCGGTTCAATAGCTATGTAAACGTTTACCGGAGGGTATCACAAGGCAAAGGTTTTTTTGGACCAATTAGTAGGATGAACAACTACAACTAAAATCACCTGCCAAGATTGCAATTAATCTAAATGGTCTCTCAATCAACCGCCATACGAAACTATAAAACACATGTGTATATATATATACACACCACACCAAGGTTTACCATGTCAAAAAATCCAGTGCTGATGGATCATGGCATCAACTCTTAATGATTGCCGGATTATTCATATTACATTTAATCCCTAGCAGGTACTACCAGGCCCTTAAAAACTTAAGCCCTGAAATAGCAACTTGGAACTGTCATATGCCACTTCCGAGTTGGGGAACGATCCACTGGGATGTCTAATTCTTGTGCCATACCTGTTGGTTCACCTCACTCAGTAGATGGTTTGGAGCCACTAAAAGTGGACCATTCCTACCACTTAGTTTGTGCGAACCAAGATGAACCAAATGTACATCCTTAGGACTGGCCTGACTACCCTAACCACCAAGTAGTCAATGAGTCACTTCACCCCTTTTTCAGCCGTCAGTGGGATGGGGTTTGACTCAACCAATGATGATCACCCTGCTTCAAGCAATGGTTATGTTTTATCTTGTTTTTCCCTTCATCACTTTGTGGTTATCCACCAACCCCGCCAGTCACCGCTAGGACATGCTAGGGCCATCATGGGTTTGAATTCACCGCAGGCGGCAGGCAAATGGCTGGATGTTCATTCCCCAAGTCCAATAGTCCAATAGGTATGAAAAAAAACAAAACATCCAATAGTCCTATATGTCCGTAGTGGTGAATCATGCATTTCCCAATTGAAATACACCATTGCCATGAGGTGGTTTTCCCACCATTTTCAGACACGCCTTGATATCGTATGATTGGTTCACTGTTGGTCATATATCCCATATCATATGTCAATATTCTCACACACACAATATATATATATATATGTATACACATTGCAACAGCACCATATTCATTGATCAAATCTCCATGTTGATGCATTGAAAGCACTACTGAAAGCACCCGGCCACCCGTTTTTTTATCCACGACCCACCAGATGCGCCTGTCTCAGCTGCACGCAGGTCACAGTGGTCTGGTTCAGCCAGGTTGCCAAGGTCAGGTCCGGACAAGTTCTGGGGAAATTATATATATATATGTATAGTGATATATTTTAATATACAGTATCAGAATAATGACAATAAAAATGATATTAATGATATATATATATATAGAGAGAGTATATAATGATAATAGTAGTATAATAGTATATAGTATATAGTATAACGTATATAGTATATAGTATAACGTATATAGTATATAGTATAACGTATATAGTATATAGTTTATAGTGTGTATATATATATGATTATATATGCTCACCCCCTAGCACATACCGAAACAGCATTTTCACTGGTATTTACGAGGATATATATGCTGGGCTGGGTAAATCATAATAATTCACTAGCCTGAAATGTTGGGCTTTATTGGGATAATTCCACCCCAAACCTAACAATGATTCCAGTTATGTCACAGTGAGGTCACTATAATTTACCCGTCTGGACACTCTTTAATTGAGTAAACAACTATCCCTTGATATTCCACATGTTCACCATATATATATATATATATATAAGTTTATTCTCATAGATTTATCATTAAAGTATATTGTCGTATATACTATATCATGATCGTACAGTATAGTAATATATAGTATACTATCTTAGTAATAGTGCAATAGTATAAAGATAATCTATGATAGTTTATTATCCCTAATATATATATATATGATGTCAACCCCGAAATGTAATTCTAATCTGATACTTAAATGATATCCCCCAAATTAAACAGCCGTTCTGGGTTTATGAATCCAGGGTTTACATTTTTAGAGGGGTATGTATCATATGTAAAGATATAATACAGAATATGGTGATATATAATGTATAACAACATGTGATGATACGAGGTGTACATATATATATACACAACAACTTATGGTGATCCCAGTATGATCGGCATATAATGAGGATCAAATGGGATATAACTAACCAACAATATGTGTTCTTCGGCACTGTTGCAGTGTGGTATGGAAATCCCAGGGAGATCTCCTGAGGATATCTCCCTGTGAGGTTTGCAAAATTGACAATGTGTTCCCCTAATTGATCAAGTGAGATTCCCCCCAAAAAAAGGTGAGCATCCCCGAACTAATCAAACAACCAACCATCTAAATTTAATTTAATGTCAACCCCGGATCAACAAACCCTGGTTGATTGATTGTCGTGGTTCCCCCCAAAAATAAAGATAACTGGCTACCGAAATGGTACCCCCCAATAAAAAACAGCCTGGGGGTTTATTAATCCGGAGTTCACACTCTATATCAAACAGTGAGGTTTCCGTAACATCCAGTCTCTGGAAGATGACCGTGACACACGCTGATCATTTTAGATGCCGTTTTCCACCTCATTTGAGGGATTCGTAGTAGCTGTCACAAATCGGAAGTACTAACCCTTCAAATCACTCACATTTGAGATCACTAATTCAGGTGTTTAAGCAGGATGAATCCATGAAGATTTCAAGCCAGTTCCATGCCCGTTGCCACTTCCGGACCTGGTGCAGCAAGTATATCACTGTCTGACGCGCCTCCAAGAAGAGCTATTTCATAGGGAAAATCATCATCACCGGATTTTTCGGGGTACCCATAATTTTCAGACATGGCCCCATGGGTAACTACTGAACGTATCTACACATGAATACACAGGCTGCGTATTGTATACAGTATTCCCTCAGATTCATGGCAAGAAATCAACCCATCAACCCTTTCTAGCTGTTCTGACAAGTGCAGATACACAGCATTTTCAAGCAATGCACTGGTCTTGGCACGTGACAAGCAACCAAACTAAGATTAAGATAGATTAAGACTCATTGGATGCAGGAAACAAACCATAATCTTTGCAGGGCAAAAATTGGGAGTCGGTCCCCACTACTAAAAGTCATTGGTGAGGCTTGGTCTGCCAGTCTGCCAGTCCCTTGCCCAGATGTATCATTGATACATGATGTGTCCCCAAAAATGACTAAGTCAACATGCTTGGTCTCAGATAGCCTGCTTGAAACAGTCACAAAATTCAGCCGCGCATCAAGCATCAGAATTTGGCAGAACATCAACCGTAACTGGACCATCTCCCAGTCTCCACGCCTTCGAATGCCAGGGTAGCTGCCTGGCAAACGAGTAGCAGGATCCGATACTAGCAGTGGGGTGACGTGGGGTCTGAACATGGGGGTATCCTTCAAAGTTATGGCAATGTTCATAATTTTCATATGGACACATATATATATATATATGTGTATATATATGTACGTATATTCTATGTATGTATACATTGATGGATAATGATTCAAATGATGATGAACTAAGATCAATCAAATTGGGAATTGGCTGATCCCCCAAGGTCTTGTGGTTTTCAGGGTCCCCGAAGTCCGCTATATCCACCACCAATCTTAGTTATTTGTGTTGATTATCAACCAACTCAAGTATCATGAATCAACTATAAATCCCCAACAGTCTAGTAGTTGTGTCCCAATTATTGCTAAGTCAATATCATTCAATCTCCATGGTTGTGGGCTACATCCCCATTGTTCATCATCATATTCCCATATTTTTGATGGTTACATCCCTATAAATTGTAGCTCCGTATGACCCAGTTTGTGGCTTAATTTCCTAGAATGTCCTATCAAATCTCTATCTTTCTGGCTAAATCCTATCAAAGCCAAGCAGTTTCAGCCCCAAAAACCCCCCCGCGACGCAACAACCACCTCTCAGGTTTCGGGAAATGTTCCAGGCTCGCGGAACACTTGGCCAGCAGCGTCAGCAACATCGTGGGCCTGGCGGAGGGATATCACCATTAAACATATTGGAAAATTAAAAACATAGTGATTTCACCAGCAAAAATTGGGATTAATCATCATTCATGATAGCTAAGTTGCTGACTCACGATTGGATTGATGGTAGATATATCGAACTTTGGTCAGGTTACAATCCAACTTGATTCCAGTGGGGGCCCAAGTCGGAGGATCCAAGAAATCCGATCCTTTTTCATCATGAACACACACTATGACTAGACTGGTTGGTGGTTTCAACATGTTTCAACCCCTCTGAAAAATATGAGTTCGTCAATGGGAAGGATTATCCCATATATGAAATGGAAAATAAAAAATGTTCCAAACCACCAACCAGTAAATGATCGTGAAAGCCCAATTTCAATTGAGTTTTTTCTGATCACAATATATGAATTGAACATTTTATATATCACGCACAGATCCAATGGTAGTCAAACTCCTGGTACTCTAGAGTAGCCTCCAAAATAGTGGGTAGCTGCACAGATTCATCCCCCGATCTGTGCCAGTAGGTTTTGACCCTTTGACACCCACCCCTCAAAGAAGATTATGATTTGGGATCAATGACGTTCTGCCTTAGACATGCGATTCTTGGAAGTTCCGGGCTCAATTCGATGTGTAGCACCAATATCAAAGGTATCTTGCTGTATGTAGAATGGATCAAAAGGGATGGCACAGCAATAAGCCTGGAAGCAATGAACACTGAAGCAATGACTGGAAAAGGTCCCCTTTTTGGATCCCCCTAGAAACTGGTGCACCCTAGTCTTCAAATGTTACTAGTTCGTTTATTGACCCATTCAGCATCATTTGGCTATAGGTTATAATTACCATAAACCATACTTAAGCTAGTTATATAGTCAGAAAGCAAATTAGCTAACTATGGGGCACCACACGACCTTGTAATCACCATCGGTCACGTCGTTATGATTTACCCCGATAGACGGTGAATCTTTGGGCAAGGTCCTCCCTATTCCCGAAGGAATTCTTTGAACAGTGACAAACATGGACCCGTTGAGAAATGTCAAGATAGATGATGGGTGATGTTGAATCATCTAAATCTCTACAGATTCCTGGAATCCTGAAATTCCGTACCCAAACATATCCACTTGGCCCAAAATGAACAAGTTATAACATGTAAAATGGAAGAGATCTGAAAAACTATATTAGTTGGGCTACCTTGATTTTTGTACAAACGTGCTTGTAGCTTCAGTTTTCCTGGGTTTACGTCTTCAACTCCTGGCCTGGTTCGATAGCACATCAATCTGGCCTTGGTGGAAAATACTAGGGATGCAACCGTAGCTTACCTGCTCATCACAGTTGGAAAGTGATTCCTAGCCATGGATGATATATAGATAATATACATATATATATATATACATATATATAAATATATGTATATATATATATATATACACATACATACATACATACATACATACATACATACATACATACATACATACATACATACATACATACATACATACATACATTACATACATTACATACATACATTCATACATACATATATACATACATACATACATACATACATACATACATACATACATACATTACATATATATATATATATACATAATATATATATATATTCAAATGTGTATATATATATATATGTATCTAAATATATACATATATATATATATGTGTATACATATATTTAGATACATATATATATATATACACATTTAAATATATATATATATACACATATATATATATGCGTATATATACATATATATATATATATGTATATATATATAATACAATTATACAGTAAATTATACATATATATATACGGAAACTAGGTGGAAACTAGGTGGAAACTGGATGATCTATCTTCAAATAGCAATAGTGAGCTGATTGATGCCCCGCTTGGGGGCTATCCAAGGCTATCCAATACACATAAACCTGGCTTAGATTGCCTTTAATCATGACTACCAAGCCCAGTTTCCCAGTTCCTTGGATGATCATCCGAGTATAACTCTGAAAATCCAGCAGAGAAGTTCCCCCTGTCCCCCTACTACAAGTCGATCTTCTCAAATGGGATGTTTCACAGTTAGTTGATATAATTTCCTCGTACATATCATATATGGAGATACACATAGATACACTACTGAGACGATTTTGTCTGAAAATAGGGTACCTCAACATTTGATGGCTGATCATCATCTTTCGACATATTGGCAGTAGCACTCCAATTTTACAGTGTGCATACCCCGTTTTCAAACAGACCCATCATATTGTTGGTTATACATCCCACTGTATCTTATTATATCCCATATGTATCCCATTATAATCCATTGTATACCATTGTATACCCATGATATACCCAGTAAACCACGAGCCATTGACTGACCCAAACATTGTTGATGAAATGCGTCCCATCTTTGATGATTGAAGCATCTTTGATGATTGCTTCAATCCAAACAAAACACCATAATTGTGATGGATATTAGCTGGTGAAATGGTGAAATATCCCACTTTTGGATGGTTTGTCATGAAGTCAAATCCCAATTTTAGCTGGTGAAATCAACTTCAGTCCATTCTAAGCGCCGCGTTCTCTCCGAACACCAAGCTGCAAGCAGCTCCAAGGTCAGAGATACCGCTTGGCGACATAGGAAGCTGTTGCCCGCGCGGCGCCTCCAATGCTTGGAGCATTGACGGTACATCGATCCAACCATATTAGGGTTTATTATTCTCCAATATGATATATATATATAATATATATATATATGTGATATTGTGTGATTATTATTCTGATAGTTATGTATGTACTATATCACCGACTATATTGTGGACTATATAAGGACTTATCTGGATATAATATGATAGATAATTATATATATATGGACTATATATGGAAAGATATGGATGATAGAAAAAGTCGACATCTACACTCAAGGACTCTGACATCTGAGTTTTGAAGTCACTTTGTCCGCGCTTCTCGCAGAGTGTGACTAAAGACCATGCTCGTCCCGAGTGTTCTAGAAACAAAATCCTCAGTGGATGAAACTGCGCTGGGTATCTGGATATATCTGGATAGATTCTCATAGTTCACTTACCTGAAATAAGGACAGTTTGGGATGGTTAGCCCTGAAATTCTTCAAATTCCATTTCAGTGACGTTAAGACGTGAGGTTGTTCCCGTGTGGCCAGAATGGGCTCCTTAATTGGATCGTTTACGTATCAACCATGACAAACATCCTGTGGGCTCGGGAACAATATCCAATATTCGAACTTTGGGATATCTTAGAGATCATGGTCCCTATCAGAATCTGAAAAATAGATGGCATTTGGAGCATGTGCACCATGTTATCAACGCTAGCCTCGTGAGGGGGTTGTGAGACACCCACATCCCAAACATACCCATATCAAGGGTTGTACTAGTAACAAAAAAAGGGGATCATGCCTGAATCAAACAGTCCAAGGTCATCTGACCCATCTGAGTATTGACTGGTTGGGACCAACATGCGAACAGTCACCGGGCATCCCTGACGCACAGTCAACAGCAATCACGCACTCATTTGCAGCACACAGCACAGCCTGGTTGACTCGTGATCTCAAGACTAATACTCCAAGGATTCAACGTCCAAAAATCGACAAGAATGTGGCTGTCAAAACAGGGACTTGGGGACCCAAAGATGGAAAAATAACAAAACATGCTCCTGGCCGTTCCTTCTGTGACCATTCCGGGTGCTTAAGTGACCATTACACGGCTTAAAGTGACATCAAATTCATCGGGATGAGGAGGTCAGTTCCACACACCATGCATGGTTTGTGTCACTCTTCATGTTCATCATCGAATTACACCATGTTATAAATCATCATATATTTGTTCCACACCCCTCGGGTCGGGTTTCCGTCAATATCATCACCTATCTATATACATGTATTTTAAAATGACTAACCCCAATGGTTGATGGTTTTAACTCAAGACGGGACGTCTGTTGAGATGCGTGCAAAATATTGGTCTGGCTCAAACATGTAGAAACCCACAGGACCACACATGTTGGTGATGTTTTAGAACTAGCCACTATATACCATTGATTTTTGGTTGCCCTTATTTGAACGTGTGGTATAACTCAAAATCATTGATCTGTCCGCATGTCTTGCTTCGGCAAAAATCACCTGCCCGAATCCCAAACCCCCTGATGTCACAAAACAAGGGCCCTGACGCGTTGTGCAGGCCTTGTGCACCTGGGACAGTTCGACAAAGATCCTGTGATCCTGGAAGTTACCCTTTGATGATCAAACATGGTTAAAAAATCCTCAGTTCATGGATTATATTTTCAATTACAATCCAGCTATGTATAGGAATTGAATGGTAATGTGCCAGTATGGTTATGAATAAGCCTATCACTATAGATGATGTTCCCATGATAATTTTGAACGGTAACGTGTGCCAAAGGGTACTGTCAACTAATGTCAGCCCTAGATTACCAATCCCCAGAGGTTGATCCGAGGCATTGATCTAGTGGAGGTTAGTAGTAACTGGCAACTGAGAAGTGGAAACCCAGTTGCAAGAGATCTCATGACCCAGTTACTAGTTTTGGGTTATTGATCCTAATGTCCGACATTCATCCACATGTATCCAAATATAAAATCTAGGGAGCTCTTAGACTCACAGATTTTGAGCATTGTTTGATATAAATCAATACGTGCTGGTGCTTCATCATGCTGCAGGAAGGGGTCCCATAGATAGGTATATACAAGTTGGTCTATAAATGGGCTAACGATTGGGTTTATGGTTATAGTTGGCTGGGGATTGTTATAACCAGTTCGTAACTGGGCGGCCGAAGTTTTGATCAACACCCACGCTTCCAAACGCATTGCGTCGACCAGCAAGGTTTGAGTGTTTCGGCTTCTTATATTGATATCGGTTCTAGAAACCATGTGAGCAGTGTTGAAAATCCTGTCACACACACACACACTTAGAAACACCCCGAAGGGAGAGGATGAGATGAGATGGAATGAGAATTCGTGTTTCCGCCCGCTGGGTTCCCAGCTTAGCCAAGTTGCCATTCAAAAACAAGTCGCGCAGTTACAAGAATTGGCGTCCCAATTCTCTTCCAACTGATTTCCGTAGCTTCATTGGCACGGATAGGAAATCAATCTCCGTGCCCCCTGCTCGGCTGGTATGCTGATTCGAAACGAGCGCTCAAAACTCATGTGCTGCCCGTCTGAAGATGCAAGAAGCGCCGGATTCAAACTCAATTGTAACATGTTTAACTTGCGTCAAATTGCGTGAGACTGCCATATCCAAGCTTATGGGTTGCATGCCTCAAAGTGCATTGAACTGCTGTACCAGGCTGTACCAAAAACCCCGCTCTGTTGGTATACTAATTTTAGCTCCTGATTAGTAGCTAGGGTCGCTATTGTGGCAATTTTTCCAAATTATTCTGAAACTCATGTATTGTTTGGAGGGTTCGCTTTTGTGGCAAAACAAAATTGGGAGAGCACTTTTTTTGAAAAAAAAAGTAATTGCTGAGAGGCAATTGTTTCTCAAAAACGCTGTAGCTCAGTCAAGTTTTTGCTCATCTCTCTATCTGAGCCTGTAAATGCATCTCTATCTGAGTAGGTTTGTTTGCTGGGCTCACTATTGCAGCAAGCTGTGCCAGAGCAGCCCCTGGAAGCCCAGAAGGGAAGCAAGCCTTTTCCAAAATTGCCAAATTCAAACTCCAAGCCTTTCCCAAAAGAACCAATCCCTTATTAAACCCTTATTAAAGAACAGCTTTTCCACAATTTTCCAAGGCCCTGGACCAGGAGAGGCTCCATTTCACTTTAGTAGGTTTGTTTGCTGGGTTCACTATTGCAGCAAGCTGTGCCAGAGCAGCCCCTGGAAGCCCAGAAGAGAAGCAAGCCTTTTCCAAAGGCAATTGCCAAATTCAAACTCCAAGCCTTTCCCAAAGGAGCCAATCCCTTATTAAACCCTTATTAAAGAACAGCTTTTCCACAATTTTCCAAGGCCCTGGACCAGGAGAGGCTCCATTTCACTTTAGTAGGTTTGTTTGCTGGGCTCACTATTGCAGCAAGCTGTGCCAGAGCAGCCCCTGGAAGCCCAGAAGAGAAGCAAGCATTTTCCAAAGGCAATTGCCAAATTCAAACTCCAAGCCTTTCCCAAAGTACTACAAGTACTACAAGTACTACAAGTACAACAAGTACTACATGAACTACAAGTACTACAAGTACTACAAGTACTACAAGTACTACATGTACTACAAGTACTACAAGTACTACAAGCACTACAAGTACTACAAGTACTACAAGTACTACATGTACTAAAAGTACTTCAAGTACTACAAGTACTACAAGTACTACAAGTACTACAAGTACTACAAGTACTACATGTACTACATGAACTACAAGTACTACAAGTACTACAAGTACTACAAGTACTACAAGTACTACAAGTACTACAAGTACTACAAGTACTACAAGTTCTACAAGTACTACAAGTACTACAAGTACTACTTGTACTACAAGTACTACAAGTACTACAAGTACTACATGTACTACTAGTACTACTAGTACTACAAGTACTACAAGTACTACAAGTACTACAAATACCACAACTTCATCGGCAAAAAAAACAATAGCAATTAGATTTCAATTGTAGCCAATTGAAATCCTTACTTAATTGAGGATATGTTTTTCTTTTGGGAAGAAATTTTTTGACTTTCTACTTTAAAGAATGTCTAGATATAGTTTAGGGGGAGGGGGGGGCCACACACTAATCAGGAACCAACATTAATTCGAAACGAACGATCGAAACTCATGCGGTGCACGTGTGAAAGTGCACCGACGCGCCAGAGTCAAACATGTGTATATAACATAGTTACATCAAACTGTATTCGAATGCCGTACCCAAGCTTATGCATTGCATGCCTCAAAGTGCAGTGAGCTGCTGTATCCAAACCCCTTCTGCTGGGATCACTCTAAGCACTGCCTAACCAGTCCCCTTAGGTCAGTACTGCGTGGGCTCTCTCCTGCTTAACTTCGGTGCACTAATTCGAAACGAACGATCAAAACTCATGTTCTGCACACCTGAAGATGCACTGAAGCGCAGGAGTCAAACTCATGTGTAACATGCATCAAACTGTATGTGGTAGGACATGGGTGCCACACGCCCCTGCGATAATAAGAAGTTTTACATCTATCCAGATGGTACACACACACACACGCCCACACGCAAAGCCTAATTAGTAAATTCAATACCAACATACTGTAAAATTACAAATGATGACCAAGTCGTTTTTTGAGTCCATAGTTTTAAGATGTTTTAGGGGACGCGGAGACAATGCTATGTTCAGCATTCCCAACCGCTTGACTTCACCCCTTCGTTACGACAGATAATTAGACAAGACTGTGGCAGGATCATAACAGGGTACGGTACCCTCAAAATCCACTGGATTCTCAGCATGTTCCCCCATTAAAATGAGGCATTTTGGGGTTTACCTGATTTCTGGACGGACCCATATCTCTTTGCCCTTCACTGGACGGTGAAAGGAGAAGTGGGAAGATCCGGGCACCGGACGGCATCACTGTTGCTTTTGACACCTTGGAATGGGTGCAAAAATTGTTTGCTTTTTTCCCCAACATTGCGAATTCGGGCTAACTTTAGAGACCGGCGAAACAATCTTTTTACATGGGTATCATATTGTAGAATCTACAGTATTGGAAAACCGAAAACCCTACTAAAGATGCCCCAATGTTGGTGTCTGTTAATCAGTTGAGGGTTACTAGCCATTTGCTACTGTCCAAGCAAAGAAACGGAAGCACAGAATTGCAATTTTTGTGGGGAACCTCATGATGCAACTTGACATTTGGTGTACCCTCTAGTAATTTGACATAGCTATGGAAAATGGATCCCAATTAAAGATGATTTTCCGTTTCCTATGAACATGGTGACTTACGATTCCTCCAGCGCTACATGTTAAATTACCAGTCACCAGAGCGTACCCCACGTTACAAACAAACTCGTTTAGATACCAAGTAGAGCTTTCTTCTACTGTTTTAGGGTTATCACGTACCAATTTTCTGTGGCACCTAATATACGGAGCTTCTGAAACAAGCACCTAATCACCTAATGTTCTCATGGCGAAACTTAAATACAGTAACCTGCCTTCCATTGTTGTTTTTTGTGTTTATCCGGAAAGGATATGTTCAATTAATTCCTCCATTCATGCCCGAAACACATTCAAAAGGCCTTCGCCACTTACCCAGTTATGTTTATCTCAGTTCCTTGTGCTGTCAGAGTATGTTCAACCTGAGGTTGGATGAAGGAAACATCAAAACCTTTATAGCCTGCACTTGCCCTCATAATCGTAAGTCTGTGTGTTTTGTTTGTGGTAATCCCATGTACGAGTATATATTTCCGGAATAAAAGAAAACATAGACCTTCATGTGCACGGATAAACACCATCCAGAACTGCAAAAGACAATAAAGTGGAGCAAGGAAATCCAAATCACCATTTGTTTCCCTCCAATAAACTCCAACACGGAAATGGAAAACCCAGGAAATCCATGAACTTTCACAGGGAAACCATCAGCAGCTGTGGGATTCAAACTTGGAAGCCGAAGGTTGCCAAGAAATTCCAGGCCATATTGCCGTATCGTACCCCCAAATCTGATGGTTGATCATCATCCTCAAAACATGGCCATAACATACGCCACAACTGGATATGCCCCATTGTTGGACAAACCCATATCAGTCGCTGAATTATCAGATTTATAAAGATTTATCCTGACAAACAAGGGCAATTGTTCTTGTACATTGTAGATAGTCAATAGCCATAATTTTCTGCAGATTGTAGATCTTGTATATACCAATATTTGTACATAAATAAATAAATAAATATATATATATATAATATATATACATATATTACATTATCAGCCATTGTCCATTTCTGGAAGCGTCCAAAAATGCAGGTGCTTAGTAGGGAATGGCCGGGAATGATGGAATCATAATGATGATTGACAATCATCCCATCCCCTCCATTCCCAGTCTGCCCCGTCTGCCCCTGTCTTGGTGTTGCACATTGAGACGATGGCGCAGCAGCACCTGCCAGGGCTCTGCGATCCACAATGTTAGTAGCCATAGCTGATAGCAATATCCCTACGATAACCAACCAACAAGGGTTTTGAACACGGTTCATAAATTCCCATTAAATTCCCATTATCATATGGTTGGTGTATATCCCAACACCGTTTTGAGCTAGTATCCCAACGCCGTTTTGGATTACATAATATAATTCCCTATGTTTGATGGTTAAATTCCCATTGTTCACCATGTTTGATGGTTTTTGATGGCTATACAGCCCCGTTATATCCCATTTTGACCAATATTTCATGTTTAAATTCCGGTTCTTCATGCTTAATTAATCAGGTGTAATCCCGAAAAAAGTGAGGGTTTCATATGTTTGTTTCATGGTGAAATCTCCTAAACCCAGCATTTTTTCAAGATGAAAAACCATAAAAACCCAGCATCTTGGCGAGCTCCCCACGGGTTGACCCCCCCACCAGTTGCGCGAAGGCCGAGAGGACGGCCGGAGGAAATCGATCGGCCACGTCCAAACGTAACCTGGGGGATTGACTTAAGGAATACATGGGAATATTCACATGGGAATGTGAAAACATTATATATATATATATATATTGCATATACATCACATAGATACTATTTATACAAACTAGTACAGTATACATATATATATATATATATATTATATAAAATATAATGTACATATATAATATATATATATTTCACATATATTATATTATATTATATTATATTATATATATATGTAAATATTATATACGTATATGTATATATTATCTAAAAGTTTTGTATAAGTTATATGTATAAAAAAAAAGAGTTTATATATATACATGAATCATCTGTATATATATATAAAATTAAATTATATATATACATTATATATTATATTTGATTTATAATAAATGATATATTAGTTATAAATATTTTTTGATTACATAATATAAATTAGTTATTATATATTAAATATTATTTAAGATTTATGAAATATTTTGAATTTTAAATCATATATTATCAAAATATATATATATTATGATGTATCATATATCTACCTATCTATCTCTCTATCTCTCTATCTATCTATCTATCTCTCTATCTATCTATCTATCGATCTATCGATCTATCGATCTATCGATCTATCGATCTATCGATCTATCGATCTATCGATCTATCGATCTATCGATCTATCGATCTATGGATCTATGGATCTATCGATCTATCTATCTATCTCTCTATCTCTCCCTCTATCTATCTATCTATCCATCTATCCATCTATCTATCTATCCATTCTATCTATCTCTCTATCTATCTAATCTAATCTAATCTAACCTATTCTAATCTAATCTAACCAAATCTAATCTAATCTTATCTAATCTTACCTATCTATCTATCTACCTACCTACCTATGTATCTATCTATCCATCTATCTATCTATCTATCTTTCTTTCTTTCTTTCTTTCTTTCTTATCTATCTATATTATCTATCTATCTTAACTATCTTATCTTTCTTATCTAGTTTATCTTATCGTATCTATCTTATCTTATCTTATCTTATCTAATCTATCTATCTAATCTATCTATCTATCTATCTCTCTATCTCTCTATCTATCTATCTATCTATCTACCTATCTATCTATCTATCTATCTTATCTTATCTTATCTTATCTATCTTATCTATCTTATCTATCTATCTATCTATCTATCTATCTATCTATCTATCTATCTATCTAATCTATCTATCTAATCTTATCTATCTTATCTATCTATCCTATCTATCCTATCTATCCTATCTATCCTATCCATCGTATCCATCTATCCATCTATCCATCTATCCATCTATCTATCTATCCATCTATCGATCTATCGATCTATCCATCTACCCATCTACCCATCTATCCATCTATCCATCCATCCATCTATCGATCTATCTCTCTATCTCTCTATCTCTCTACCTCTCTATCTATCCATCTATCAATCTATCAATCTATCAATCTATCAATCTATCAATCTAATCTATCAATCTATCAATCTATCATCTATCTATCTAATCTAATCTAATCTAATCTAATCTAATCTAATCTATCTACCTATCTAAAAAGGAACCCACAGGAACATGGAAAAACGGAACGTCAACAACAAAGAGTCCCTCAAGAAACCTTAACGCAACCCTAAAGAAACCCCAAAACAACACAAAGTAAAGCCTAAACCAACCCTCACGCAAACCCTGACAAAACCCTACATTAACTCTAAACCAAACCTAAATAAACCCTACGTCTCAACTGCAGCGAAGATGTCTTCAGTCCGTTCGTTTGTTTTTGGTTTGAGTACAAGAAGCATCGTAGAAGGACCGCCGAGGGCAAACCATGTCACATGGTTTGGAACGCAGGAACCATCCACTATCAACTCCAAGCCAAATGGGGAATGCCGGAATTGAATCCAGGCCTGCTGCTTGATCCACATGATCGTAGATTCCCCTGCAACATCCAAACTCATCACCTCCTCCCCTGTGCAAGCATGCGAAAACACTTCCGCCTTTCGCCTCCATGCTATTTTTTTACTTCGAAAGGATGCCAGGCAGCGTCGTCGTAGCCACAGTACGCAGCAATGCCGGCACTGTGAAGCAACAGGATGTCGCTGGCATCGGCCGTGCTGTTGCCTCCCGAGATTGCACGCAGCTTGGTTGGCTGTTGGTGCATGGCCTTTTCCCACTCTCTCTTGGACATTGCGTTTGCACAAGGATTGGGAAGAGCCATTAAACAAAAATCTGGATTTCGCTGCAAATGCGTCATGGAGGCACGTAGCAGCGCAATGTATGCACGCATTCTTTTGAGAATCCGCGCGCTACCATGGTCACCTTCAAAGGTTGCTCCTGCTGCTGCGCCCAGGAGGGAAAAGGCTACGCGCCTCTCTCCGAGGGCTGCATACCAGGCCTTGTCCGCACTAGCATTGTGAATGGAGAAGGCGCTGTTTCAAGCAGACTTGGCTGCCGCCCAAGCAGCACTCGATAGTCGCAAAGCAACCCTTCGAACTCGGTGATTTGACTGCCAGAGGCACATGAACAAGACTCCATCTTGTGAGCTTGCTGGGCCGGAGTTGGAGAACTCACTGTCCAGGAAGGGAGGCAGCTTTGGAAAGATGGTCGAAGTAGGTGATGAAGTGATGAGGTGTGTGATGAGCCACCTCTGTAATCAAACAAATCGATGTCGACGAACTTGTATTTGTCGCCGGTCAGGGCCATGTTAATTTGAATAGTTCCTGTGCCTTCATGCCAGCTGCGCCCCTACTGTCCTTGTCCTTGTCATCTTCCTCTTCCTCCACGCTGCTGCCAGTCAGCACGAAAATAGCTTCGTAGCTGGTAAGAGCTTGCGGGTGCCACATCTGGACGTTGCCAATGTGCGTCCGGCAGGTGGGGCGGATGATGTACGTCCAATCCTCCCAAATTTCCAAACCAACAAAATGGCTCTTGGAGTAGAGGACGTACTTGCCAGGCAGCATTGCTTAGCGATCTTCCACCCTTCGAAGCTTTTTCCTGTGCATGTGTTTGCCAAATTTTCTACGTAACATCACCGTTGCCATCATGCATCCAGGAAAAGTCAAAGATATAAACCTACGAAGCTGTTTCACCGCTGCCAAGATACACAAACGGCTGCAGCATCCGATTGCCATCCGCGAGAGCCCAAAAAGGGCAATCCGCAGTGTAGGGCACCTTGAAGCCATAAAAAGTTTAAAAAAGTTTTATAGTTTTCCTATTCAAAAAATAAAACTTTTTAAACTTTTAAAGCCTTCCCCAGGAGTTTCAAAAGTTTGAACAGTTTACAAAGTTTTGAAAGTTTAATATTAAACTGTTTCCCAAATTTGGGGTCTAGGAGAGGGATTGGGGAGTTTTAAAAGTTTGAAAAGTTTAATATTTTTCCTATTCGAAATATGAACCTGTTCAGGAGTTTTAAGAGTTTAAAAAGTTTAATATGTTCCTATTCGAAATATTAAACTTTTTAAACTTTTAAAACCTCCCTCAGGAGTTTCAAAAGTTTAAAAAGTTTTAAAAGTTTAACATTAAACTGTTTCTTAAATTTGGGGTCTAGGAAAGGGATTGGGGATTTTAAAAAAATCAAAAAGTTTTTTCCTATTGGAAATATCAAACTTTTTAAACTTTTAAAACCACCCCCAGGAGATTTAAAAGTTGAAAAAGTTTAAAATTTCCTGTTCGAAATATTAAATTGTTTAAGCTTTTACATCCTTCCCCAGGAGTTTCAAAAGTTTTAAAAGTTTAAAAAGTTTAAAAACAAAAATCATATTAAAAATTTGTTTCCCAAATTTGGGGTCTAGGAACGGGATTGGGGAGTTTTTAAACGTTTAAAAGGTTTAATATTTTTCCTATTCGAAATATGAACCTGTTAAAACTGTTAAAAGTTAAAACCAAAGAAGTTTCATATTTTGATTAGGCAAAAAACATTTAAAAAAAAACTTTTAAAACTCCCCAATCCCTCTCCTAGACCAGGAGCTAAAACCGCTCCCAGGAGTTTTAACAGTTTCAAAAGTTTAATATGTTTCCTATTCGAAATATTGAACTTTTGAAACTTTTTAAACCTTTCCCATGAGTTTCATAAGCTTTTGAAGTTTCATATTGAAGCTTTAAAAGTTTAATATTAAACTGTTTCCCAAATTTTGGGTCTAGGAGAGGGATTGGGGAGTTTTAAACTTTTCAAAAATTCAATATTTTTCCTATTCGAAATCTTAAACTCTTTAAACTTTTAAAGCCTTCCCCAGGAGTTTCCAAAGTTAAAAAGTTTAATATTAAACTGTTTACCAAATGTGGGGTCTAGGAAAGGGATTGGGGAGTTTTTAAACGTTTAAAAAGTTTATTGTTTCCTATTCGAAATATGAACCTGTGGAAACTTTTAAAACTACCCCCAGGAGTTTTAAAAGTTTAAAAGTTTAAAAAGTTTAATATTGTTCCTATTTGAAATATTAAACTCTTTAAACTTTCAAAACCTTCCCCAGGAGTTTTAAAAGTATCAACAAGTTTTTGAAATTTAATATTAACCTGTTTCGCAAATTTGGAGTCTAGGAAAGGGATTGGGGAGTTTTAAAAGAATAAAACGATTATTTTTTCTTATTGGAAATATTAAACTTGTTAAGCTTTTAAAACCTTCCCCAGGAGTTTCAAAAGTTTTAAAATTTTAATATGAAACTGTTTCCCAAATTTGGGGTCTAGGAAAGGGATTGGGGAGTTTTTAAAGTTGAAAAAGTTTAAATTTTTCCTATTCGAAATATTAAACTTTTTAAACTTTTAAAACCTTCCCCAGGAGTTTCAAAAGTTTTTTAAAGTTTAATATTAAACTGTTTCCCAAATTTGAGGTTTAGGAAAAGGTTTTAGAGTTCAATATTAAACTTCCAAATGGGTGCCCAAAGCTCAAAATGACATAGACCCTATTATTACCTCGTACCCCCCCACCCACCCCGAACCCCCCCCAACCATCACCCAGCTTATCAACACCTATGTTACTTCATGAAGAAGAACCATAATTAGAGGACCTGGTCGAACATCTCCATGTCACAAGAACAACATGAACCACATCTTCATGTAACACAACATCGTTGTAGTAGACGCATGCACAAAGTATAAAAATGTGCAAATTATCAGGGGCCCCGAGTCCCTGTGTAACCTAAAACAAACCCTACAGAAACCCTAAACCAACCCTCAAGCAAACCCTGACGAAGCCCAAATTTCACCTTAAACCAAACCTAAATAACCCTAAACCAAGCCTAAATAAACCCAAAACCAACACTAAGTAAACCCTAAAGAGACCCTAAAACAAACCCTGACGGAACCCGATCAACCATTAACCTGAAGCTAAACCGAGCCTGACTATACCCTACACCAAGCCGAAATAAACCCTAATCCAACCTCTGCACAAACTCTGATGAAACCCTAACTTAACCTTAACCAACCCTTAAAAACCCTAAACCAAGCCTAAATAAACCAAAGCAACGCCAAGTAAACCCTAAATAGACCCTAAAACAAACCTTGACGAAACCCTACATTAGCCCTAAACCAACCCTAAACAAGACCTAAATCAAGCCTGAATATTCACTAAACCAAGCCTAAATAAACCCTAAGCCAACCTTAAAACAAATCCTGACGAAATCCATCATTGCCCTAAACCAACCCTTTAAAAATCTAAACCAAGCCTAAAGAAACCACCAAGAAACCCCAAAATCAACACTAAGTCAACCCTAAATATACCCTAAAACAAACCATGAGGAAACCCTGCAGAAACCTTAAACTAACCCAAAAACCAACCCTTTTTTTAGACCCCAATAGATCTTGTTTCACAACCCTGAACCAACCCTAAAAACAATGTCACTTTGAGGCCCACGAGGCACGCCGCAGGGCAGTCACCGGTCAGGATTCATCGGGGGGTCCTCCTCCACCGTCATACGTGAGACTCCGAACATGAAATGGGCGTGTGAAAACCCCCTATGAACAAAAGGGGGTTTCCATAAATGGGGATACCCAAAATGGATGGTTTATAAGGGAAAATATTATTAAATTGGATGATTTAAGGCCTTAGGGGTACCCCAATTTCAGGAAACCCCCAATGACCATCCCACTGCACCCTGGAAACCCTCCGCCAATCTGTCGAGGAACTTGAAGCTTCGAAGGCCGTAGGAGTCAAACTCCTCCCAAGATAAGTCGGTTCCCTGGATGTTTTTGCTGGGATGGTCATCAATCCATTCATAGGGTGATCAATGGCAAAGTGGGAGAGATGATCATACCACATTAATCCTATGTAACTTGACTATGGCACATCCCAAGATACATATCCCTGGACCTAAATGAGTCCTCCTCCGGAGCACAGCGTTCGCAGAAGCTTTCAAACAAAGGTGGCCACGCGTTTTTCCTGAGGCCGCTTGGCCCTCCATTTTTCCCAAAAAACTGATTTCTTGCTATGTTACTTTCTAATGTTGCGGCTAATCAGAGTAATCTGCACAACCACGGTGTAACCATGGTCAATCTTAGATGCATCAAAGATAGAAAAGCAATGTATCACTCTTTTGGTAGGATTCTACTTTTCATTTGTTTTTGGGGGTGCTATAGCTAGTACTCCCATCACCACTAAAATCCCCACTCTAATAGCCATTGAGGGAATCCATGATATAGGTTATATACCAATATTGGATATCTGCAGTTATAATCAAATCTACACTGACTTATAACTATAATAACACCTATAATCTACAGTGACTATAACTACGTATATATAATAACCCCATAATAGTTACCATTATGGCTTTCCCTGAAAATGGGGTTCCCATTCCCCGAGGCCAGCGCAGGGCGGAAGTGCCAAAGTCCGCCGCAGCCAAAGCCGCCTCGCCCAATGGATCCCATTGGATCCCATGAAACGATCCTGGGGAAAACCCCCAGAATTTACCATCTGGTTATGACTAACAGTTCGCCATGGAAAGATCCACCATACTTACTATTAATTAATAGGTAAACCATCTATTTCGATTAGGGCCATGGAAAAACCATGGCTATGTTAGTCATAACCAGAGGGTAAGTAAATCTGTGGATGTAGAGGATGTTCCATAGATCTATAATGGCTAGGAGTATCTAGGAGTCAAAACCCGAGCCTAGGTGCCCGGAAGAACGAATGGTTAACCAATGTTGATTCCCTCAAATATGGCAATAGGCTCTGGCCCCCATTCCTACATATGGCCACTATGATGAGGATCTGAAGTTTGGGGACTTAACTAAGAAAAGGATAAATAACCTGCAAAGTGGCGCAAAGTGGTGCCCCATATCTGCCACGGAGTTGGTTTGTAACTATTTTTCCCGAGGACTTATGATGGATATCGCCTATAGTGTGGAAAAGGTTGACTGGGCAGCATCACTTTGTAGCCTCAATCTGTTTTAGAATACCTTACCTGACAGTTCAGTATGACTCACCCTTTCTAGGCGAAGATTGGGTGGATCGACTCCTGCCAATAGAATTGGGCTTGCTTGAACATAAAGCACCCAAAAATCTCATGGCTGAGAAACTCGTTGTCGTTTTTTTGAGTGGCAAGTTTGTTTGTGGTACCCCCCATGTGTGGACAAACCCATATGTGTTACCAAGCAAACCTATGAAAACATATGGAATTGTTCCAACATGTTTCTTTTAGGGTTTACTAACCGAATAAGGGGATGTTACTCAACAAAACATGGTTGTTCTGAAGTCTTCGATACGCTGCAAAAAGGCTTCGTCATTCGAGCCGGGATATGATATCTGCCCAACCAATTTTTGCCGATGTAGTGATATCAACTTAAACATTTTGGAAGCTCAACATCACTGGTTGTTTTTCGTGTTGGCGAATGTCGGAAACAAATGCCTCAAACATTTGTTGAGCGAGGCAACTGCAGGGTGAGGCTTCAAAAAAGATGAGAGCCAGATTCGAGTACACACATTGAACGTACCAACAGGACTCTTTTGATCACCGGATATGGTTCAGCCAAACTTCTTGGCTCACTCTTTTTCTGTTAGCAAAATCCTCCATCAAATACACAGGTGATTTCCCCTAAGCACCTGCCCTGCCCAGCTTCGCACTCTTGGAAGTGCTGAAGCCACCCTTGTATTTTTTAACACCATCTCATCCCATGGAGAAGTTGGAAATGGATGGCATCCTTTTCCTCATAGTAACAGTGAAAACACAGGCTGCATTTTCTTGCACCCCTTTACAAAACCACGTTGTCTCATCCTTTGTGGAAAGCGATGCCTCTGTCAAATAGACATGGCTCCAGCAAATCCCCCTTGCCATTGCCATTGGTAATACCCTCGATTCACTGCTTAAATCCCTGTTGTTGTTGGCCCTGCGTGTGTTGCTTATCATGGAACCCCCCTTATTGTTGAGAGCCCCCCCAGTTTGTGTTGTTTGAATTCAGATTGTCCATGATGATACTCGCAGTTTTGTTGCTTAGCCTCCAGTAAATTAACATAGACCCTGAGAATATCTGGTTTTTGGAGGCACTTATCTTCCAACTTGGATGGATGTAAAAAACACTAAATCAGGTTAAGTCCCAGTTTTTGATGGTGATTAGTTATTACCATTGTTGCACCATTTTTGTTGTTTAAATCCATTTAAATCCCATAAAACCACAATTAATCATGGCTAAATCCCATAAAAGCACCATTTTCTCTGGTTAAATCACCATCAAACCATCATTCTTCTTCTCCCCCCAACAACAACGTTTTTTCGGGGCTACCAGGGGGCGTGCCCAGAAGGGCCGCACCGTGCAGAGCTTGGTGCGGAGTAAGGCCAAGGGCAGCGGATAGTATGCACCGATGGGCCTGTGGAGATCAAAAATGAGAGATTATTATGAGATTATCATCCATATCATTATTACCCTATTACCCTCTGGTTATTTAACATAGCCATGGAAAATGGCCCATTAGATGGTTTACCTATTAAAAATGGTGAATAGATGGACTGGTTGGTGGTTTTAACCATCTTGAAAATATGAAAGTCAGTTGGGATGATTATTCCCAAATTATGGAAAAAATAACAACATATTATTATTACGAATCATTATCATTATTAACATATGGATAATGATAATCCATATTATACCCATGTATCCATATGGATGATATTATAATGATAATAATGATAATGATATTATACCCATATATCATATTATTACTAATCATGATCATTAGTATCACATTGGATATATCCAATGGTAATAATTATCTCAATGATAGATGGTAAATATAAGTATCTCCAATATGGATAATATAATATATTATTACTATTGTTATTATCATTATTATCATTATTATCCATATATCCAAGATATCCAATGGGCATGATATATTAATCATCCTACATAATAATTATGAGCATATTACATCATCTTATTCCATATGTGACCATATTATATCCATGGAATATGAACATATGATGAGCGAGATTATTATCCATGTATGATTGCCAGCAGTACTTGGCAATATTTATCTCAATATATCCAACGGTATGATTGCGGATTGGAGATCTTAATATGAGCATGATCATGTGGATAAATGAATTAATATGATATGAATATATATATGATGATTGGAAATTAATCATAATTATTCATCCTTTAATATTCAGTCTTTCAAATCTGGAATATGAGCATGGGGTGTATTATCAATACGGACATAGAAGTTAAATAATCCTCTAATTATATACTTATTAAAACATCTATTAAATAATCCTAAACTATAAATGCCTATAATATTAATTGAATATTAAAATATGATACTCGAACATGACACTGATACTGTAACGGTAATATTCTATATTTATCTATATTTGACATCTGGAATATACTTCTATAAATGGGTTAAGCATCTGATAATAAATGTTTAGCCATTATTATATGGATTATAAACAGGTTAAAATCTCTTATCATATTAATGGCTGATTCTAAAACGAATGGCGAGGAATATTAATGGGGTACTATACTCTAATATGATAATGGAATATGATAATGGAATTTGATTTGATTGAATGGGGTTTACAAGGTTTATAATTCTAGAGGTTCGCAAATAATGGGAATAATACCTATATAGGAATGATGGCTATAGGAATAACGGCTAGAGTTTACGAATATGATAATTCAAAACGTTTATTGTAAGATGGGATATACATTGAATTCTAGAGGTTAAGCATCTAATAGAGGCTAAACATCTAATAGAGGTTAAGCATCTATGATCATGATAAGATCATAATTCCAGAGGTTGATAAACCAACACCTCTAGTTCTTCGATGTTGAATTTCAAAGAGGTTTATAACTGGGGGGAACTAACCAATTGGAAAATGATCTGCAAATGGTGGTGAAACCCACATCTAATGTCTTTTTCCATAGCTATGTTGAAATACGTTTGAGGGCAAGTTGGTTCATAAGCCAATCTAACAACCATATTGTAGATGATTATATATATATATATGAATATACATATATATTTATATATGTTGTAGATGATTGTACTTATATCATCTTATATCATCTTATATCATCTTATAGCATCTTATATCTACCTTGACACCTATAGCCTATAAATCTCGTTCAATTTTAAGAGTTTCTTGAAGCAACAAGTCGCCATGGGGCACCACCTATTGGTCAAGTCATGCGCCAGGGTACAGTACCACCATCTGGGGCCATGGTCGACCCCAAACATAGGATTTAAAATATTTAGATCTGATAGAAATCATTGGATATGATTTTCAGACATTTTCCGACATCATAGGACCATAGGATTTAAATCTGGGTATTTTTCCCCCAGACTTAGGATTGAAGAAAATTTAGCTCGTGGAGATTCTCGGAGATTCTCCCGAAAATGATCGTTGAATTCCGGATTTTCCGTTGAAATAATGGAATCGTGAAATCTGATCTAATTATATATATATTGGAAAAATATTTATTGGAAATAGTGGAATTTAGATTTCCTCTATTTTTCCAATATATTGGAAATAGTGGAAAAATACAGAGTTAGAATTGGCTGGTTTCAACCACCTCAAAGCTGTGAACCATTTGCGATCATCCCATTTTGCGGTATGCACACAATGTATGTAGAGCCACCAGACAAATTCTTCATATGATCATTCAAATCTAAAGCACCCTCGTGTACAGTAACGTAATCCGGCAGTGAACAAATGCCCCTGGTTGATGCATTTTAAAACCATCTTCCCCACAAAATGGGGATTTCCCTTAGCGGATTCTACTGGGAGCGCACCCTGCTTGAACGATAATCTGGAATCTGGGCAAAGTATATCAGTATATCTCATAATAATTCTTGAATCAAAAGTATGCCGGAAATTTCGGATTGTCTGAAAATAGAATAGCCCAAAGTTTGATGGTTGATCATAATTTTCCCATTCAAATAGCCATTTAAGGGTATCCCTCATTTTCGGACACACAGCCCATTTAAGGGTATTGCTCCCTAATCATTTGTAAACCCGGGATGAACAAACCCTGGCTTAATTAGGGGGTGGCAATTAAGACTATATGAATAATTATTCATAACATTTCATAACCAAATTTTCATAACCAATAAAAAATTGATGTTAACCCCAGGTTAAACGCTTCAACATGGACCATGGTCATTGAAAAGCATCATACGCTAGTTCCAGGCTTCCCATTGTCGTCCATCCCCGGGCATCCAAACGAACTCGTGGCGCTGATTGATGAAATACAGCCTTTGCTCTCCTGAAATGTCGCTGCTGCGGGATTGATGGGATAGGATGGGGCAAACTCGATTTTTCTGAAAAATGAGCCTCTGGTAAACTGTCCCATAACTATGGAAAATCCCCATGTTTCATGGGAAATTGCACTATCGATGGTGATTTTCCATAGTTATGTTAAATTACCAGAGGGTAATGACTCTGTTCTGAGGTACAGGGAATGGCTAAAAGATGTATGAACGACTCGTTATCTGGTTGAATATCCCAGTCGCTGGAACTACATATGCTAGTACCCTCCGGTAATTTAACATAGCTATTAAAAATTGCCATTTGTAGTGGATTTACCAACTGAAAATGGTGATTTTCCATAGCTACGTTAGTTTACCAGAGGGTAACCACACAACAAATACACCAACATAGAAACCCACAGCTGGTGTCGTTCCTTCCTAAAAATAGAAACAACAAGAAACATTAGGTATCTAGGTATCCTTATTATCCTTCCAAATGATGTTTAGTTCCTATTATCTTCCAAATAAATATTAGGTATGTCGTTCCTTCCAATCCCATGGCCAATCTTAGGTATCCTTATTATCCTTCCAAATAATCATCCGCAGCCGCTGAGTCTGTTTCCCGATTTTCCATCTATTCCGGATTCTCATCTTTGCTCCTTTGGGGCCTTTGGGGTGCGCCGCGTGCGGTGCCAGATACCAAGTGTTTACAGTAGCTTCTCCACTCATGAGGTCACGGTCACGACACAAAATTCCCAGTTGTATCCCGAAAAAAACATGTATATATATAGTACGTATTAGTACGTACTAGTATGCATTATGTATTACTATGTATGTAATATATTAGTTACATTATATCATTATATTTCACAGAAAACTATGACCATCTTTCCCATCTTTAATAGGCAAAGAATCGCAATGGCAATGTTCCCTATGTTGGGGTTTGATTGGAGTGTACCAAATCCGTTGTACGTTTCAAGTCCCGTTTCCTCAAAGCCTTCGAAGTACCTGACCGAACTCGAGGCTTTGGGGTTCAGGAATTGTGGCGAAAACTGTTTAAAATATGTGGTTTACAATGGAAAATCCTTTAAGAAAAATGATGCTATAGGGGTACCCCCATTTTAGGAAACCTTCATGTGTTCCTTTGCAATTGGTCAATATCATTGGTTGGTAAATCCCATTTTTTTGCTGTGATTCCATACAGTATATACGAATGGGTGAAAACCATGCTTACTGCAAGGCGGGGCACCATAATTCCCTAAGTTGTTCTCAAGCTAAAATAACAATAATAATTAAAAATTATTGTTGTTATATTATATATCTATAGTTAATGTTGTTTATAAATCAATATAATATTGGAACTGGGGGGCACCATCTTGTAGGTTTTGATCCTGCATGCAAGATTACTTGCCTAGTTGTCTATATCTTCATGTAGAATAATGAATATACATTCCCTATATGTACATAATATGTACTACAATTACTGTTGTTAGGGTGTCATGAATCTGCTGGATGGTTGTCAAATAGACGTGTTTCTCAAGGTATCTCACACGACTCACAAAGTTTCATCCAGAAATCCATGGCACGGCACGTTGGTTGAAATCCATTGGGTGTTGAACCCGTTGTCGTTCCAATATTGGGTCCCGTCATACAAGGGACACACACATATATATATACATATGGACTGAAAGCCACTTCTTGCTGAGTATGTTTTACATGTCTCATCATATATCCACCAGTTGGGTATACCCTCATCTGGCATACCACACACCTGAGAGATTTATCCAAACCCAGGGTTCACTCAGAAATCCAAGAGGTCGTAAATTTGCTAAAACAGGTTTGGAAGTGCAGGGTCACCTACAGGGAGCGAGGGGCACGTCAATGCTGAGCAATCTATGTATGTATATAACATACATATTGTGTACATATTATATGTAATAATTCACCTATTTCTATATTTAGATATCACATACATCATTGAATCATACACTATATACTCAATATATTCAATGTATGCCATATCATCTATTAAGCCTGTTAAGGTCCCTATTAAGAGTCTACATCTAGTGGGCCGCCATGCGGCCCCAGCTCCGGCAGGCGCACATGGTGGCGAAGCAGTAGTTGGTGTTCGTTTTGAGGCCCCGGATCTCCACCAAGTCTTGCCCCGCGCGGCGGCAGCCTCAAGGCTATTCTGCGTCTGTGGGGATCATTCAGAAGGATTTTTGCTGGCGGCAAAAGCGAAGGCAGAATCCATTGTATCCATTGGTATATTCATATCATATATATATATATATATATAATTATGTGTATATATATATATGGTCTATACGTATATAACCGAATATATTCATATATATATATATATTCATATATATATATAATAGTCATATATATATAATTATATATATAGTGTTCAATTTGATTACATTGCAGAGCGATATCAATGCAAAATACCACGTGACCGGAAAATGATTATCACCAAACAAACACATGTTGTGTTTCTTTGTGGCCGTATGATCTCCATTGCTATGCAACTGATTGCAAATTCGATTGCGAAGAAACTGGAAAGGCACCCATTCAAATCTAGCAACATTGATACAATATATAGCTCTTGAGACAAGAAACATCTGATACAAAGCCTTCATTGTTGGTGATGTTTCATGATTTTTCCAATGAAGGTCCATGACATATGGGTTTGTCTGAAAATAGGCTACGTCCAAATCTATAGGTTAATCATAATTTTCCCTATTAAAATAGCTATGGGAAGTACACACCATTTTCAGACAAACCCAGTTGCTGAATGCTCAACTCCCACGGCTCGAAACATAGAAACCAACTGGGTGTTCGCCCAAGACCGGTGCAAGCGGGACATCAATCCGTTGTTCCATCCCTATATTCGACCAATGCAAATATACGAAAAATCCTCTTCACTCTCGGGGATAGATGGACTGGTTGGTGGTTTCAACCATCTTGAAAAATATTAGTCAGTTGGGATGATGACATTCCCATATATTATGGAAAATAAAATTCATGTTCCAAACGACCAGCCAGTTATTAACCACTATCAATCATTATTAACCACTATTAATCACCATTAATCTGGGTAAATTACTATAGTAATCACTATCAATCATTATTAACCACTATCAACATCTGGGTTTGTCTGAAAATAGGGTATATTCCCAATTATAGCCATTTAATAGGGATAATGATCATTAGCCATTGGGTTTAGGGGTACACTATTTTCAGGTACACTACTATTAACCACTACCCTCTGGTAATTTAACATAGCTATTGAAAATCATCATTTATAGTGAATTTTCCCATTAAAAATGTTGATTTTCCATAGTTATGTTAGTTTACCAGAGGGTATCAACCATTTTCCAAAGGTCCAAACCCCAGGCATTCGCCTGTACCCAGGAGATCGCGGTGCATCTCTGACACGCTGGTGCCGACACCGGCGGCCTTGCCAAAGACCATGCCTGGGCGCTCGGTTTTTTAAACGTAACGACGAGGCGCGCTGAACAAAACCAGGAACCATGGCTAGCCCATGTTTCTACATGGAATATAGATGTACATATGGTGTATTATATATATTTATATACACCATATATACATATTTGTATATACAGTATGTGTTTCTGATGTGTTTTTTTTTTCTGAAGGTCAAGTATTGGCACAAGATCATAACCTGAAACCAGTCGACGAATTGGGTCCACTTTCGGCAAACCATGGCTGCGGATTTTTTTTTCACTCCAGTTGGATGGCTGAAATTACATAACGCCCCAGGTTTAGATCAGCATAGGATGATGGGCTATATATACATCCCGTGGATGTACAGTAATAGCAATTAAACGACTCATTTTTTGTTTTTTATGCAAAAAAGAAAAGCTTAACCAAAACAGCAACTATATTATACTATATTACTATGTTATCTTTCTATTATAAGCTGTAATTTAGAAAATGTCTATAAACTGAATGAAATTGTCTGAAACTTGGGGCACGTCATGACCCGCCGCTGCTCCAAGGCGCAAGTCATGTGAATCTGCGACGGCGGCAAGGCACCCAGACGCTTGGAATGCAGAGCTTCGGAGTATTCCTGGCCGTGGGGCTGGAGATTTCTGGTTGTTGTTCTTCTTGAAGTTGGTTATGTATGGTGATGTTAGTTTTCAATGATGCATGGCTTGGTGTTTCAATCGTTATTGTACGTGGACCTAGATTTTGTTTTTCAAGTTGGTGTCAAGTATCTTCTTGATTCTATATAGATGTTCTATGTATAAATCTGATGCGAGGTATTCCTATGTTCAGCTCTTTGCGTGATATATTATTTGATTTAAGTCGGTTTCAGTCGTACTTCTCTCGGTCCCAACACCTCTCATGAAGGCGCTTAAAGTTTAAGTCCACAAATCATACCCCAGTTTCCTCCTAAGTGATAGTTGGATCGATGGGCTGCGATCCGAAGATTTTGATGTTTGGATCTGAGTTGACCCATGAGCAACGGGGAAAGATTGGTGAATGGGATCATGGGATACCATGGGACACCATGGGATATCATCTATAAGAATAATGTTCTTGTTGTGTTTTAGCCTCATTGAAATGATTCAATCATACATGGAGAATATATTGGCAAATGTTGGAAAATACTGACTTGATCATTATCGCATCATCATGTCCCAAAAGCAGGGACCGCAAAAAATGATGATGGCTCCTAAAGTCTTCCTTATACTTTGATAAGAGCAGAATTCAAGACTCAATCAGAAGTTACATGGCTATGGATCATTCTGCATACACATCTCTTCACGCCAAGAATATGAAGTGTAGCTGGATGTTCATCCCATCATTCAAGTCAGGTGGGTCCTGACTCATCCCCAATCAAATGTAATTCTTCCCATTATCCTGTAATTATCTGAACACCTAAAGACCACCCTCAGAATTCCCAACAACGCAGTACTCCCCAATCAGAAATCGCTCAGAATCGTTCAAAAACTGTTAAAACGTGTTAAAACCATCATGTTCCCCATAAAATTTATTGAAAACTTGCCATTTTTGCCAAGGTCAATTCCCCGCTTTTCGTCACAGCCTGCGGAGTGGGGTTGAGATCTTCCGCAATGGGTCTCATCGGCCTGGGTTCTGGGTATTTTCCCCGAAAACGGAGGGGGGGGTACCCTAAACGCGTACGTGCTTCAGGTTGGGTTTATGGCAAATATATAATGATAATTGATGATATATATATATATATATCCAACTAGAAAATTGGTTAGATCAGTTTCTTTTAACCAACTTATGTTGTCGCAATACTAAACTTTACAGATGATTACTGTACCTTTTGGGATGACTTGCTCTATCCTGGTGGAGCCAACCATCCCATTTTGGGTCAACATATGTCAACATTATCCGGGTGTTTGGTGCACCAAACATCAGCATAGCCAAGTGGTCTGGAGTCTTGACATGTCTTGACCAACTCTGAAGCCCCACGGAGATCGATGCAACGGCGGCAAGCGCAATTGGATGCAGCCTGATGGCGGCGGGGTGCCCGTTGCACCAAACGGAAACGGAATGACCAAATATACTACAAGATACAAGATACTACAAGTATATACAGTGAATATACAGTATATACACAGCACGCATCTCTACACCTACAAAAACAAAAGTCGATTTAATCCCTGTGGGCTTACAATCGGTCGACATCAGTTTCACCATCGAGGTGTCGAGAGTGTCGATGAAGCCCATGCCACGCCGGGATATCGGGTAACCCCCTTTCTTGGAAAAAAAACATCTGCAGGAAGCCAACAAGCCTCCGGTAATCAAACATTGCCCATTGATGCCGGGGGATTTCTGCGGATTTCCCATTCTATGTGACCAGTGATATGTTGATGGTAAAAAGTGAAACGCTCTACCTTTCCCACCTGTTTGACAGAACCCTGATGTTTGAACGTTTGCACACCCTCCTCTCCTATCCACAAAAACCAAACAAATCCACATCAAAACATATCAAAAGGAACCGCTTCACAACTTCGCCTGGCATTCGAGCCACCACGGTGGGTAAATGCCTTGGTCAGTCGGCACTTTTACGAAACAACATTCGTATTCAACTCAGAACCCAAAACAGTGCACAACATATACCTTCCGGTGTCATCAAACGTGGCTGGCCGGAAAATCCCCGAACCAAATAACTCAATGGAGGTCTCGATTCTTTCAATGGGAAAATCATCAAGAAATGAGGATTTTACTTGTTCCAAACTTTTGATTCAAGACAAACAGGCAACAGACCGGCTCGCTGATTGCTCAAAGATGCTCAAAGCATGATTCTATTTTAGATCGATTTGGACCTGAAAGCCATCATGATTACCGCGACCACCACCAGATCTACTATCTCCACCAGCATCATCACAATCATCATAATGACCAGCAGCAGCAGCAGCAGCAGCAGCATCACCAGCATCACTGTCATCACCATCATCAACAACAACATCAACATCATTCTTAATATCTCTTGAGCCACATGACATGATACTGAAACATATGCAGTTCTTTTTTAGATTGTCATACTCCATAGGTCCATAGGTCTATCCCATCCCCAGCTTTTTGAGGTTGCTCCAAAGCTGTTCTTGTCATCTTGGGTTGTTTCCATCACCCATTTGCATGAACGCCGGTGCCACCAGGCAGCGCTGGAGGTTTCCTGAGCGCTTTCTGCCCTTTGCGGAACTCCTGCCAAAAGTTTGGACATACCCAACCTGGTTATGACTAACATAGCCACGGGAAATGACCCATAGAAATAGATGGTTTACCTATTTATAGATGGTTTACCTATAACCAGATGGTAACATAGTAAACAAACAGTGACTGCGGACTCTCTGGGACACTTCACCCAAGTGTATTTCACCTGTCTTCCATACGCTGCAGATAACTTGTCGGTGTTTTTTTCTCGCAAGATATAGCAGGACGCGTCGCAGATCTCTTCTCCCAAATTTCCCACAATGCCCTACAAGTACTAGATGGTACCAGGATGATCAGTAAAGAAAAACTATGAGTTGGGTACCCTCCTGTAAACTAACAGAGATGTGGAAAACCCATCATGTGTAGATTATTGTCTGGGGAAATCATGGGTTGTCCACATCTTTTTGTATGTTTATGCTTACCCATGTCAAAATGTCAAAATGTGACATGACACATCCAAGTTCCAAGGGCATTTTGCTTCATGCCATGAGCTAGCTGCTATGGAATTGTCAGCCGGAGTGTCCTTGCCAAACTGCTCATTAATGCGAATCGCCTTCTGCCTCAGCCAATCATGGCGTGGCTGAGTTTGCAGATTTCTGGGTGATATCTGGCAGTGGTGTACATATGTTTTAGGATCCCATTCATAGTGGTTCCCGTTGCTTTATTGATCTTTAGTCGATCTCATACAGTATGATGGAGTCACAATAGTATATATATATATAGATATAGTGTGTGTGTGTGTGTACATACACAGTAAGACTATATAATATATATATATGTACCGATGTATAATATACGTGCAGAGTTGTGTTTTACACGTCCAGCGGCTCTTCAGTTGGACAGTGATCCCCCGGCATCTGAATTGATCTGCTTCGCATAGCGATGAGATCCCCTGAGGAGTTGGCTTCAGCTGACTATGACATATGAAAATCTATGAAAATATAACAAAAAAACACTCACACACGAAACAAAAACATACAAAAACTATATACTCATATGTTCATGGTGCCAAATGTTCTCTAAAACATCCAAAAAACCAATGTATGTCACAATGCCATGCCCAGTGGCTGTCGGAGAAGTTCCTTCTCCTGTTGGATCCACAAATTTCTCTCCTGCGTTGCCACTGGCAGTGATGTCTTTGTGGGATTTTCTTTGGATCCTAAATGGCATCATGTATGCGTATGAATAGCAAATATATATGTGTATATATATATACATATTCGTGTTGAAGTCAATGTCGCATTGATTTGTGGATGTATATATATATATATTTTTAACAAGCTGAGGGCGTGAAATGATGTTTTACTTTGTTTTGGAGTTATATTTTCTGATACGATCAGAAAATCATAACTATGCCCACAGAAGGTGAGTAGTAATGGAACCAGTTGTTTTTTCCCGAGATTCATTCAAACTCAATAGTAGTGACAGTAGCAATAGCAATAGCAAGAGTCATAGCAATAGCAACAGTAATAGTATCAGTAGTAATAAAAGTAGCAGCACCAATAGTTGTGGTTTAAGTACAAGAAGATGTGGTAGTGGTAGAGGTAGAGGTAGTGGTAGTGATAGTGGTTGTAGTAGTTGTAGTATAGTGTTGCAGTGGTACTACTAGGAGGTAGTACTAGTTGCAGTAGGTGGTAGGAAGTAGTAAGAAGTAAGGTTGGCAGAAGAAATCAAAGTAGAATTTCTGACATGCTACTGGTATTAATACTAGTGGCCATGGTAGAATTGGGATTGTTATTACCCTCTGGTAATGACTAACAGTTCGCTATTGAAGCCATGGCCCATTTAGTAAATTTAGTTCGTTGTTTTGCCTAAAGTGGTGATTTTCGTTTGTATGTTTACCATATACCGTAATTCACATTACAAATCATATTATAGTTTTGATTCATATGTGTATAATTAGTTGATAATTAATTTGGACCACTATTAGTTGACCTTTTCATATGTGTCTATTACTACCATAATTATCAAAGGTCCAAAAGGTAGTGATGGTGGTGGCAGCGTCACCTGCGCCACGGCGGCATCGGCTTCCATGACGGCCTTGCCCAAGGCGGCGCTGGCCACGTCCGGCCTGGCCCAATCAATGGCTAGGGACGGCTTACCCTCTGGTAAACTAACAGTTTGCTATTGAAAATTGCCATTGAGTTCGTTGATTTAGCCATTGAAAATGGTGATTTTCCATAGTTGTTTGTATGTTTACCAGAGGGAAACATAATGAACCTAACCAATAATCAATGATAATGGATGATGATCAACTGTTCTAAGAGTAATGATATATAATATATATATAATGGCGTAAGGATGGTATACTATGGTATACTATGGTATAATGGATTATAATGGGATAATGGATGATTATCAGCTGGAATAGCTTTATGATAATGATATGATGACTATTGTCTAAGCCATTTATCTATAATATCTAGATGTGGAATGAACTATTGTAGATAATAAGTCCATTTACGATGGCTTTGTGTAGTGGATCATAAACGTCGATAATAACTATCAAATGTAACTGTCAACTATAAATGTTGATAACATCAAATTATCAGTTAGAATATAAACTACATATTTAATTGAATAGTGTCTTTTCTGTTACAACAATCAACTATCAATGGTTAGGAATAGGAATAAAAACAATCAACTATAATATGTATATATATATATATGATAATGAACTCTAATGTATTATTTTATATATTATATTATATTATATTATACTAAATTATACTATATTAAATTAAATTATATTATATTATATTATATTATATTGGTTCATATTATGTGCAACATATGAACTATCATATCATACCGTCTATAATATGAATTATACTATCACCAGGTTTACGGTAAATGGCTAGGGTTACTTGGTGGTTCATCTCAGTTAGTGGGCTATAAACCCAGTTAGAGGGTAGGTATAAGCCACTAGCTTGTATGAGCCACCAAGTAGATATGATAATTTATAATATTTTATTGTGATAAACCATTCCTATACATATGTATATACATATATATATATATACATACGTACAGTATCATTCCTATAATATTATATGGCAAAAATGTACATAGTCATAGGTTTTCACTGTGATATGTAACTATGTTTTTTGTGTTAAAAGGAAGTAACTATCATCTATCACAATGGAAAGCAGCATTAAAAAAAAAAACAGCGTAGGTTTGGGTAATTCTATAATGTGGCTTTTGGTGATAACTATAGGTGATTAGCGGACTCTAACTAGAGGTTTTCCCTAAACCAACTTCTACCTAGAATGGGGTTATTTCATTACTATATGAGATTTATTGCAATTTTCCAGTGAAAATTAAAAGAGTAGAATTTCTTGGGACATGTGGAATGTGCTATGGCTATGGTTATATGACGGTTCTTTGGAATATCTTTCCAGCCAGGTGAGGAAATCATCCACTAAGAGCTGAGGCACGGGGTCGGTTTTTTACCCTGCTGGTTTACCCTGCTGGATTCAGAACCAACAATGAACAATGGCAAAACCGTGGTACAAGTATCATTGATTGCCATATCCTTTCTGAACTCAATCTTGAAAATTGGTCAGAGCGGAGTTTCCATCAGAGTTTCTGCGGACAAAGATTGGAATTCTCCATGTGCTCCGAGTGTGTTTTTGCTGAATTCAATTTGATCCAGATGGAGGTTTCCTGAGTCATGGAGGTAACCCCAAATCATTGAGGATGGGCCAATGGAAACCACCAGATTTGAAGCATCAAAATTCAGAAACTGGTGGTCTATTCCTAGGGGCTCGTTTCCAAAACGGCACCCGTCGTCGCTCAGGCGTTACGCGGAACCTCCGCTTTGCCACGGAAATGAAGAAGAAACACCGGAGGTATGGGTTTTCACCTTGGCAGATCATTGGCAGATCAAGGGTTGGTAATATACTATTAATATATGCTTAATATATGGTTGATATATGGTTAATGATGGTTAATAATCTGGTTGGTGGGGGCCACCTAGCCCTCTGAAAAATATGACAACTCGTCAGTTGGGATGATGACATTCCCAATATATGGAAAAATAAAACATGTTCCAAACCACCAACCAGTTGATATATTTAAGTAGAATACCTGCGAACCCCCTAATTCGTCAGAACGCTTCTGGACATGCACCATTGATACATGTTGGATCAGAATGTGTCCAAAACTTAGATGTTACCAACTTTCCCAGTGGACAAAAAAACATACAAGATTGATCCCCAATGGATTGAACTGTATGATCCACTATAGTCATAAATCATATTGAACTTGGCCATCAACCAACTTAGCCAACATGAATTGATCACCTCCAAATCGCAATCTTTGTTGGTTAGATCATCCAAAAAGTACAATCGTCATCATGGCCTGCTGAAATATCTACCATCGATGATTTCCCATTTTGGTTTGCCATTTGCTGAAAAGGGATTCGCCAGCCATGTGAAAAATCACGATCGCAGAAGCATTCGCCCCTCCCTCTCAATGGCTGATCTTGTTCGCGATGCTTAGATCACACCGTCTTTGCTGGTGAACTTCATCAATCCGCATTTCTTGAGTTGCCATTTATGGATATGTAAGGATGGTTAAAGTTAAAGACCCATCCTGAAAACTTACCTAACCCCCAAAATCAAACCAATCAAAACCAGAAACACTCCCTCAGAATGCGCAGTTGGATCCATAAAGATTCCGATTGGTTTATATCATTGCTCATTTTCTGATGATCGTTCTTTCACTCATCCCGAACTTTTCCAAATCGATCACACCCTGAAAGTGGAGCTTTTCAGAATGAGGTCGATGAGAATTGTATCGCAATTTTCCCAAGTTCATCTATGTACTTGGTGGTTTCTAGTTTCGACCTGAAAAACGATGCCCTTCACAGGTAGGGATGAACATTTCAAAAAAGCGCCAGTCCACCAGCCAGAATATCGTTCATTGCTTATACCCAGAAAGTAAGAAATTTAAATATATCCCCGTTTCTGATGCTTGAGTCCAACCCTGAATATCCAAACAACTCCATTATTTCACTGACTCTAACGGGGTCTCAAACCAATAGTACATATTGGTAATGTTATTTCTAGTTATATAGTAACTAAATATATCCTATAGTGATTTATTCGTAATTTAATGGTTGTTGGGATATGTACTTATATACATATAATAGTCCGCAATCAACAACTTAGGCATTGAATACACTTTTTAACCAAGTCATCTCTTGGAGGAGGTATTGAAAACCAAGTCACCAAGTGCTATTGAAAACATGTAAAACTCCCTATGGAAATATCCTCACCAAAATATACCCATTGAACCACATAGAACCACTATATATAATGTATATATACACCGCAATACCCCGCTATATACCAATTCATTGCATAAATCCCACATTTTCATGCTTCAAGCACCAGGTTTCCCATATATTCTCATATGTTTCCCATATGTGTCCCATCTTCTCCCATGCTTTCCCTACTAGAAATCCCAGGTTACCTCAAGGTTCACCAAGCGATCACCAAGCGATCACACCAGGCGCTCACACCCAAATGTCCCAGGACATTTGCTTCCTGTGTGCTGAGGGCCAACCTGAAGCTTGGAGTCAACTGACCAAATAACCTGGGGACTTCATCTATGGTTAAATGGTTAATATATGATTAATATATGGGGAGTCATTAACCATCATTAACTTTCTGACCAGAAAAAATCTGGAAACTATCTGCCAGAACTGTGACATTAAACCACCGGGATTTTGCCGACAAAAATGTGAGATTGAAGCATCAACATATGAGTTAAGCAACTGATGAAAGATAATTGAAAATTGATCAGGAACAAGATTAAGGATTTAAGCAACACAGTTTTAAATTTCACAAGCCACAACCGAAAAAGAAAAAAAACATATAAACATATATTTAACCAACAAACGTTGAGATTTCACTACGGAAAAAGGGACTTTACACACAACAAAATCCAGAGAAACAACAGAAGCTACACAAGGGAGGCCGGAACCAATGGAGCGGATGATGGGCCTCCCATATATTTTGAATTATTTTGATGGGGTTCCAACGCTACCGGATCTGATTGTGACATATTGTGACTATATAAAGCTGGAGTTGATTGGTCCCCAATCTGCGGCGAGCAAGGCCTGTAACTTAGCGCCGCAAGGCGGCCGGAGAAGGACTGAGATGGAGAGATAGAGTTGTGATGAGAAACTTGAATAGCTGACATAGGGCAAGAAATGGCAAGAATCTCCGCAACTAGAGTTGTAAACTGAGTTGACCCTTGAAATGTGAAGACAAACCTGGCCTGTCTTTTTCCGGGGTATCTTCAAAAGCAACCATTTGAAAGGTCCGGTCCAAGTGAGTTTTCATTTACCACCCGGCCTGGTGGAGGTGTTTTCGCCTGCCACTTGAATCACCTCCTCTTCTTCCACTTCGTTGTGCCGCAGCCTGGGAAATGTCCGGTAAACGTGGATGGACCCAACAGATGTCTCTGAAAATTGGGCATATATCATCATATATCAGAAAAACAACAATAGATATATCTAACCTATGGTAGAATATATCGTTGAATATATCTAACCTATGTTACGGCCATGAAAAACCAGTAGAATATTTCACTGATGTATCGGCAAAGCCACCAGGTGATCCTCAAGGTACCTCCTGAGAGATCATCAGTAAAAACTGACTCAGAAAACTCAGATAGCTATGGAAAATGATGGCCTCCCCTTGGAGATCTACAAATCTACAAATGGTGGATTGTCCATCATCGATAAATGTTAGTTTACTCAAAGGTAATGTTGGATAGAACACGCATAAAAAACGCGAAATATGTGAAACCACCAATGTGGTACGGTGAAACCCCATCGACTCCAATTATGAGGCTACAAATCAAGCACCAAAATCATCAACCCAATCATGGGAGTACCACTTGAACATACTTGAACTGCACAGGTCCTTGAGTGTATGCCCCATAGATATCCATAAATTAAAGATTGGCTCCTGGAAAGTAAGTCCCATCTTGATCCTTCTCCGCCGTTGGGTAGCCATGTGGCTACTTTGATTTCCTGACATTTCCTGAGAAAGTCCCAACATGAAACAGATGTCAACATTGTCAACAATATACAATATGTGTCAGTGTAGGTTTTGTCCCCTGTTGTCAGAGTTCCAAAACAATTTCAGAAATGATGGATTCTTCAAATGAGGGTTCCCCAAATTATCTAAAATTGGCTGTATTGTAGTATTGAACACGATGAAACCATCCAATGCTGGTCCGAACATACTGAAATAATGTTTTGGGGTGTCTATTTTCCAGAATTCTATGGAACCATCAACATGGAATAACCTTCCCCAAAGTCCTATTGTCAAACTCAGACACCATGATGTTGGTGTTATACATAATATAACATATTACCGTATATACATCCGTACATCCCATTTGATTCCCAAAGGAATAGATGGCTAATGGATGCTGATGACTAATCATCCATTTATAGATCAGAGTTTCCATTATAAACATATAAGGAAACCATCCATTTGGGGGACCACCATGACTATGGAACCCCGCCATATGGTCTTTTTTCATAGGTAACTTGACCCCCCTGGGGCTTCCCGGCTTGCGGCGCACCGGAGCCTCAGGATGTGGTAGGTGAACCAAAAGCCTGGCCGCTGGGAAGACCATGATATAACAGGCATTATAACCGTTATAACCAGGATGATATAACGGGGAAGATGATATGATCAGCATCAACGCAAACCTTCATTTATGAACCCTGGTGATTAATGGCAAACGATTGTTATGTGATGGTGAAAAATGTTTTTTGAATGGTTATTCCATATGGAGTTGAGGGATATAATTGTTTTTAACTTAACAGGTACCGGTATGTTATTATTTCTGACCCAGTGATAGAGGATTATCATTGGAAAGTCCATAGTTAACACCTGGGGTAAACTAATATTTATCTGGTGATTAATTGTGATTAATGGTGAATAATTTATGGTTATGTAATGATTATTCAATGGAGCTAAGGGATATACAGTAATGTGGGAAACCCAACAATAGACCCAATAATAAAGATGGGTTACCCTGGGCAAACAGAAGTGGAAAATCCATAGTTTCCCGATGAAAATGATCTACAATTGGTGGGTCTTCCATATCGAACTGTTCGTTTAGAGAAGGTTATACATGTGTATATTTAAATACATATATATATATATATGATAATGATGATGATGATGATCATGATCATGATCATGATCATGATGATGATGATGATGATGATGAACATAGTTGTCATGTACTGTTTATATAGCTATATCTGGTAATGATAACTATATATACATATATAACTGGTTCATAGCTATCTCTGTTCTCACATAGTACAGTCATCATGTAATGTTCATATAGCTATGGACCAGTTACATATATATATATGTATACATATTAATAATACTAAAGTTATGCATCATTCTAGAGTTAGGTTTATATCTGAATAGAAATGGAAATAAAATGTAGTCCTATATGTATATATTTATGTATAACATAAACATACAATATCATAGTTGTTTAGAAACACATGTGATTATATATGATATGCATGTATACATGTAGTTTGTTTATATATATATATAATTACATATTATTATGCGGGTGTGTATATATATATATATATGCATCGCTTTGTAACCTTATGTGTATCTATATATATAGTGGCACAATATCGTAATGTAGTACAATGTGTTGTAATGTAATGCGTTGCCATGTAATCAACATATAAGATAGCGTAACATAACACACTATAATCCAACATAATATAATGCAGTGTAAAGTAAGTGAATGTAAAACAATAATCAAAACATATAATATAATGGTGTATGTGATACAACATAATGACACTATACATATATACATCGTGATGGAATTATACACATTCTACAAACAACAAGATATATCAATATCAAAATAAAGTGTGTTTGAATAAATATACATGTAGTTTTGAATGATATATGTAGGTCTTATCGATGATATGTTATACCATAAGATTTTCATACATTCCATGCACGTGGTATATAATGTGCATGATATATGTTTATGTTTGTATATATAATCATGTGTATATATATACAGAATAAGATACTGTATATATATATCCGTAATATAGTTGCATAGAACTCCAAACACCATATTCCAGGACACAACCACAACCTCCCTATTCCATAACCATTAAATAACTCCCCATGATATATATCTGTGGTAACCCCCCATGCTTAATTGTCGCCAATTGAAATCCTTGCTTAAATGT